AACGCAAATGCGAGTTAGCCACGAAAGCAAATTTCTCCCCGTACTTGATCCAGGAATTCCCTTGTCTTCTGGATAAGGTTCGAAATCACAAGGTAACGGAGTTGAACATTAGTAGTCATAAACCCAAAAATTTGGGCCGGCTGTTCAACGACGGTTATAAAATAAAAAATATATTCATCGTTTTCATTTTTGATATGAAGTACCGGAACATGGTGCTGAAATAGTATTTGCGTGGCTGAAAATAGTGTGTCGATTTTTGTATAATCCCTCAACCATTTCTATTTATTTTCTGTTCTTAATAACTGAAGCTTGGCGAACAAAAAACATGAAATTTTGAAATATTTTTTTTTTTTTGTATCTTAAGACTTTACGGATTAAGTTTTAACTATGCTTCAAAACAATCGTTTGCAACTAACTTTTTTTTTCTTCTTCGAAAAATACATTTATGTGTTCATTTTCATCACTTTAATGATCCATTGTATTTCTGTTAAATCTGAATAATTGCAATTAAAGTTGGAAATTAATGAGTTTGAATTTTCTTTACTTTCCCCGAAATCATTTTATATTACAATGACTTTAAATAAAAAGTTTTAATTTTCAATCCTTGAATAATTTTTTTTTCTTATATAGTTCTTTTTACTCGAATTCAATCAAAAGTACTAGGAATTACGATGAGAAAATGATGCCTTAAGCAGTAAAATGCCTCTTTGTAAAATCTGACTGATAGAGTATTTTATAGCTTTATACCAAAACTATTCCATTTATTTCAGCACTTTTGTTCAAAAAAATCTGACAATAATGATAACTCTCCATTAAAACCCTACTCAGGAAGCCTTATTTAGAATGAGGTTTTGCGACTTAATTTAAGCACCCCCCAAATCTTGATGGTTTCAGTGATGGTCCAACATCATCCCACATTTTCAACATTCATGGTGTTTTCGATATGCCATGTAAATTGGAAAATGCTGCTATGATCGTTAACCGTCAAGAGAAGACTCTCGTGGATCAACAAATGATTCGTCCACGACAACTATGCATTTCCATGATGGGAAGAATTGTTGGAACAGACCCTTGCAAAACAATTCATGCTGGCCTATCACAAATCTTACATTGGGATGATGGTTGTTGTTCATCATAGTTCCAACATTTGATTTCTACGAAACTATGATGGAAATTTCTGGTGGTTCAAACCATCAAAACAAATTGCTACTCTTATGTTGGACCATCATAAGTCAGTCCGAATTCCAACATTGAAGTTGCTTATACCATCAAAAATATAATGGTTCATGATGGAATTATGGATGGTTACCATCGTGATTATGTCGATCCATCAATTGAAAACCATGAAGGCGTCTAGCTTTTGCTACACGATTGTTTTGATTTCAGACAACTCTTAATTCAGCACTATTCTGTAGTTCGTGCAAGGATTTTATTTTTTCCTCTTGTGTTTTATATCCACTTTCTTTCCTTGGCGTCTTGAGAAATATTTTAAAATGCACTTAATAAGAGTGAATTACATATCACTACCTATTTTATTATATAAAAGATGTTGTGAAGAAAAAAACCCCAATAATATTTCTTTTTTTTTGTAATGGCAACAAAGAACGAAAAGAAGTCATAAGCATGAGTGTGTTTTAACTAACGATTTCAAATGTCTGAATGAAAATTCCTTCTCAGTTGGTCCACAAAATGCTGAAACAATCTGTCCTATATATTTTTTTCAATAATGCGTATGACTTGACGCAGGTTTCAGAGTAATTTGGAACTATATTATATTTTTAGTGATGCTTCGTTATTAACGCATGCATGTTTTTAACAAAGCTCGCCCTGTTTTGCTTCATAATTTTTTGCCGAATAAAGAACAGTTGGATACTTGCAATTCAAAAAGAAGAGAACGGATACCTACACGTGTGGACGTCAAAAGATAGTTTATAAACAAAATGGCGTGTTAAAGTTGAGCTAAGATTCTATCAATAAGTTAGAATGTTAACGAACGTGAAGTAAACTAAATACTGCTCCGTATCACGCATGGAATTTATTGAAATATAAATTTTTCCGTCTTTTACTTAATTTAGATTTATTATTTGTTTACGCATTTTATTATAGCTGTCATATATTTTTGTCAACTTCGATATATAATTAGTTTGTTCATGTTCTACATGGCTTTGTGAAAGAATTCAACTCTTTCTGAAAGAGAATCGGTACTTGACAGCTTACTCGAAATAGAATGGAAAGAACACTTGCTAACGTACGCGTTTCAACAACCAATCAGGATTGAGATACCCACTCTACGCCTCTCGTAGGTATCCCATTGAGATTCGAAAATGGATTTTTTAAAATTTCGAATATTAGCAAAATGGAAAATGATTAAAACTACAAGAAAAGAAAAACTAAAAAAGTTAATTTTTGTTAGTTTACGATCTGAATTAGAGAAGAATTAGAACTGCGTACGAAAGCAAAAAGAGAAGATCTTTATTAATTTGGAGCAGTTCTAACTGAATCTAAACTAAAATCGTGAATTAGAACTACTATAAAAAATTTGGAATAATTTTAACTGGATCTAACAAAATAAATAAAAAAAGCAACACAACCGTAAAAAAATTAATTATTTATTTTTCTGATCAGTTCCTAAAGAGGAAATTCGAATTATAAAAGTAAAAAAGTTGACTCTTTGTTTTTCAGAACAGTTCTTAATCTAAGCAAAAGAATCAGATTTATAAAAACTGAGATTTCTACTTCTAAAATGCGAAACAACTTTTGTGTGTGAGTTGTGCCATTTTTACTTGTGACTTGCCTTTATAATGATGTGTCCAGCGTGAAAGGACGCGTGCCATTGGTCGAATTTCTTCCTCCCCTGACATTATCAGATGTATCTTTTTTTCTTCTCAAAATGTCACTCATCACACGGATGTCACACATCTTCTGCGATAATGTGTCAAAAAGCAGCTAACAACTGCGGATTATTTTTTCCCTCGTCTCTGAAGAAATATTATTCCATTTCCTTCTTTTCAATCGAAATAGAGTCATTATTATCGTCAATCATTTTTTTACTTTCTTGTTTTTAACTTCATTTTATTTATCAAGGTAATTAATAATTACTCTTGTTCGTTTACGTTACGTTCGCATCTTTTAATACTTCATGACACGCGCGAATTTATTGACTCGTTTTCCTTCGTCGAAAAATCTTATACAATTTCCGTTCTTTCAATTTGTTTTTCTGGCTTGAAAAGTATATGCTAGTCCTTCAATAACTTGTTAGTTCGTGAACTGATTCATGAAAGTGATTAACATGGATGAGACATTATCCAATGCCAACTTGAAGTGCAGGGCAAAGCAGTTGTATCCTGTAAGCAACATACTAGGTACCAAAGACTTGTCGAACCTTCATCAATGTATGTTTTGTAATCCTGAAGTATCGCGAATTTCAAAGTGTTCTTTCTCTCTTTTCTAATCTTTTGTTCTACGTCTTTGATTTTTATCCGAGATGTTTTTAATTTAGTTGTTAACCTTTTTCGCGTTTCTCCTTTGACTTATCTAAAATGCAGAAATCTCGCAAAATATGAAGTGGTTACCTGGATTTAGTGCCTCTATACCAGACAGCAAAATAAGGTTTATTTTCACTCAGAAAAAAACTTTTTAATGCGGTTTACGTGTGATCCTTGGAAAACCTCTGTAAAAATCGAGGTTTACTTAAGGTTTTCTAGCCTGCAAAAAAAAAAAAAAAAAGAAAAAAATCATTTTCATAAAGCTAGTTTTAAGGTTATTGGCAAAGTCTTGTATGCTCAGCTAAAATCCATCTTGTCATGAATAATGGCAATTGTGCTAGTGTGACGTCAGCTAAAACCTGAATATGGACTTTTTAACAAAAATAATTTTTAATCCTTTTAGGACGAAACTGCGCTTTATTGACACAAGGTTGCCATAAAGGTTTTCTGGGTCTTCACAATGTGAGGAGCAACTTCATTATTACACAAGTACAATGTTTAAGCGACAGTGGGGCATCTGAAAATTGCAGCCCCACCAGGTGACAAACTGTGGTTTGGAAAAAGAGAACATTCTACAGAGAGAAGTAGTTTGTAACTTTTTTTGGCAACTACTTTTTCCGTTAGTTTAGTAAAGAAACAGGGCTCTAACACAACTCATCTTTCCAATCGGATGGGCACCCCGGGTGTGTCAGTGCAAGCTATTTAAAATGCCCCCCCCCTGTGAGTTAACAAGAATTGAGTATTTAGAATCACATATACAATAGAACTCGTTTATAACGAGCTCGGATTTAACGAGAACTCGGATTTACCGAGGGAAACGAGAATATTTGGTTGGATCAATGTTAAGTCTATGGAACAGAAGTCGCTTTTAACGAGCAAGACCCGGTTTTAGCGAGCAATATTTTTCTGTCTTGCAATCTTTTTTCTCATCTTTCTAGTCTTTCTGTCTTATCTTTTTTTCAAAATGATAAGAAATGTGCGCGAAATAAAAAAAACGCGATTAAATTAATTAATGTAATTAGAGTAAGTAAATATTAATTACATTTTAAGCAAATCCAATCATTTGACCTCCCAAGCCCCCCCCCCCTCTTCTGGTTGCACACCTGCCTTAAGCACCGGTTTATTACGAGCACTCGGATTTAACGAGTACATGTTACGGTCCCTTTGTGCTCGTTATAAACGAGTTCGACTGTATAACCAATACTTAGTCGTATCAAAGGGATTGAACATGATGATAATCTCGAGGAAATATACGACTTGCAGATTTTGAAGAATATGTATCCTTTCTTGATTATAATTTGCATATTTTCTGACTCCCTTTTTCTTGGTTTCAATCTGCGTGCTCCTAGACTTTATTTTCCAGTTTTTGGTTACAATTCGCCTATTTTCTGACTTTATCTCCCTTTTCTGGGTTTCACTTTACGTTTTTTTTTTAAATTAATTTTCTCGTTCTTGGTTAACAGTTAACATAATTTCATCGTCATTGTTATTAACAGTAATTATTTCCTTTTTCAGGTTCTCATCGGAGAGGAAGCAGAAGAGTTTGAAGAAGTAGTAGTGGATGAAGGTTTTCCAATCCTCCAAGACATGTATTTAGATCCTTCTGAAAATCATGTCTACGTCGCATCACCTTACAAGGTACATCACTTTTTATATCACCTTTCAAACCTTTTTTTCAAAATATAAAAAATTCGATTCAATTAACAACTTTCGACTTTGACGTTTCAACAGTAATTATACATGATGCGTAGCCTTTTTGAAAAGTGCATAAAGGTGCTTATTTTAGATTTTCGTTTTTTAATAACCCTTAAAGGTGCTTTTTCCATGGGGTGTTTTTAAAAAAAATTGCTTAATTTTCCCTTTTTGAAAATCTCATTTTCTCCGTGTATTAAGTAAAAGCGTGCATTGTTCTATTCAACATTTTCACAATTCATTAAACTACAATCTATTTCGGTGTACCTTCGGTCGTATGAAAGCACCAATCATTTTACATGTCGGACGACATACTTACAACGTGCATCTACTAAGCTGGGTTCGGTGAGATTATTACACTCTCATGTGGTGCATTTTGCAAGATATTCTGAATTTTAGGCTTCATTTTCCACCCTGTGATATTGAACCAAAAAATCTCTGGATCATTTTATAATTGTTAATATAATCCAGAAAAGAGTTCAGTTATTTTATCATAATCATGTAAAGTCTTTGAAAATTATTTTGCATTTTGTTAATGTATATAGTGCTTAAAAAGTACTTAAAAGGTGTTTTTGTTGAAAGATTTGGCTACGTACCCTGTTATATATTAATTAAATTTTTTTATCACCTTGCTTTTTTTTTAGAAACTACAAAAATATTTCCGCAACAACAAAATTTAATCCTCGCTTTCTATCCCAACAATCTTGTCAGTAGGCGGTTGTTTAGATTCTTTCGTTTGAACTCATTTTTAGGGGGGCACAAAAAAGCTTCCTTTGATCGAATATAATAAAGTTTAGTGCACAAAATTTCCAAAAATCCAAATTTGTTCATGATAATATTTGAGCTTTTTGTGATTTCTCCATACCCTATATTCTCCTCGCAAAATCAAAAATATATTTACGTAAGAATGATTAAATGAAAGTGCACGGCTGTCTGCGCTAAGATTCATGCGAGAGGTTTCGCCGTTAATGTGCCATCCATATTTGGTTTTCTATTCTTCAAATATCTCGTTAAGTGATAAAGAGCGGGAAAGAGAATCAAACTTGAAACACTGTTGTAAGAAATTAAGAGATTTCACGAGGACCGATTTTAATGAAATTCGATACAAACTATTGTAATATACCCACTCGTTGGAGTCGGAAGGTGCCTTATTTTAAGTATGGCATCACGCTGCAAGATCCTGTAAGAGGGGACACTGTTTCATACCATTAGGCAGTTTATCATTTCCTGTAGCCTGAATTGTCCAGCGTATGTGTGTATTACAATTGTTGAATGTGGTGTATCAAATGTGTCCAGAGAGATCTTCATTTCTTACAGCAGTGTATTTCAGGGCCCACATAGATATAGTTTTCTCTCTTTGTAACACTCCCATTTCAACCCCGTCCACACGAGTATTCATGACATGTGTGTTTTTTTCCACAGATGAGCAAGATCCGGGTGGAGGAGTGCGGTCGGCATGAAGCATGTGACCAGTGTCTTAGAGCCAGAAATCCATACTGTGGATGGTGCTCACTGGAAAAAAAGTAAGAATCTTTATTTACTCTCTATGGATGGTGTTAGCTCCTTATACCTGCTGCTCCGGTTAGAAAGTTTTCAGCTTACTCTACGAGGCTATATTTTCAAACGGATAATTTTTGTTAAAATAATAAGTTTAGATAAGTTTTGTTAAAAGAAATAAGTTACAAAAGAAATAAGTTACATAATTTATGAGCTGCCGTAAAGATGTTAATTCTGGTGAGGTGAAAATTTGCTTTAGTTATTTATAGACTAAGGGGCTCACCAACCCCGCTTCGCAATAATTGTCTTTTCTTAGCGGAAAACAGTTTTTCTACAAAAGTTATCACTTAACATGTATGTACTAAAAGGAATTCTGTTTGCTTGTGCTTCCCAAATATCTATTAGTATTATAAACAATTAGATCTCTTGGTGAACAGAAGAGATTTTTCCAAGTAATCATTTTTTAAAAGAACATTATAGTGTTCAAACAAATTGGATGAGTTCTCAACCATCATTTATTATTTTCGCTAATAATAGCGGTACTGGAAAATGACTTTAAATGAGGGATACAAAAATATTGACAGGAAAACGATACGACTTTGTTAATTTCACGCTGATGACAACCAAAACAACATTGAAATGAATGAGGAAAAACTGGATCCACTCAGTTTTAGATGGTAAGTTTAGTTGTAGCATTTTAGCAAGCAGCATTATTAAAAATGGTTACCTTTTCACGCACAGGCTTTCTCAATTTTAATTGGCTATTTGTTATCATTTCACTCTCTTCTTATATTATATAAAGATATATTGTTTAAGTAATGTTAGATTTTGAAAAGCTCGCTTTTTTGGCAGTCCTATGAAAGCTATGCACCATCTTGCGTTAGTGTTAGCATATTATTCGAGCGGCAAGATTAATTTTACAAAGGTTAAAAGTCAGGTTAAAAGTTTGCATATATTATTGAAAAGGTAAGAAGTGTTTTATAGCGATTCTTTTTTCAAATTATTATGGATCAGACCACGTGTTACTTCCACTTAACACTACTATTTCACAATAATTGTTAAAATTATATACCCTTTATAATTTTAGCATTAATAAAATAATAGTATAAGCATACTGTCTTTTCACTATTTTTCTTATTACATCTTTATTAGTTATGGATCGAATGATAAATTTTAACTTTATTTCATAACCTCCATTCGACATAACCTCCATTCGATTTTGTGTTTACAACTATTCCGTAGCCTTGTAATTTTGAATCCAATCGACCTACGAAATTGCAATTGAACAGTGTTATGTCTAACCTAAGCGGAAAAAGAGCAAAAGTCAAATATTATGAGTCAAATATCGAGCACGAAATTTCAAATAGATAATTTTAATGTAAACCTTCATTACGAAAATGCATGTATTTCACATAATATTTAATGAAATGTCGTATCATATGAAATTGTTCGAACACGGTTTTTCTTTTTTAAGATATTTTTTTTTAGTTATAATTAAAAATATTTGGAATCATATTATTTAAACTAAGTTCCTCTAAAAGAAACTGTTTTATGTCTTTTTAATGTACGATAAAAGAAGATTAATTAAGATTAAAACCGAGTCAATTAATAATTCAGTTTATAAATCTAGTATTTATTAAAGTTTTAGGCTTTGAGAAAAATCAGAAAAAAAGCGAGCTTGCGCTGAAAGAAATAATTCGATTTAATTATTCATAGTTCAAAAATTACTTCCATTACTTTAATTTAAAATTTCTAAAATTTAATAAGTGCAATAAAAATGCCGCATTTATTTTTAATGATGCACTCAGTATTGTTGGCAATTGAATTGTAATTTTAAATTGAATATTAAAACATTCTATTTCATATTGTCTGCGATTTGGAAGCAATACCTCTTGGAACAAATTGGAAATTTGATCTGAAAACATTCCTTTATTTTTTAATTAAAATAATGATAAAACCGAGGCAACGCTCTTCAAATGGTTTATGAATCAAAAGAATTGTAACGATTTGATTCTAATCATCCTTGATGTTTCTTCTATTTTTAATACAGTAATGCATTTAACAGTATTGTTTGCAATACAATAGCTTTACAATTTTTAAATCAAAAGAAATTCGGTTCTCAAAATTCTTTTTATTTATTTCTGTTTCAGGAAAGGAACGTCTACAGTCCCTGGTCCAAATTATTATACGCACTCTATGTAAAATCTTAATTATCACTATACAGCATTATTCTTTTTACGAGACTGTACTTGTTTGCGTTCGTGTATCGGGTTAACATTGTAATTCAATACGTTAAAAATAAATACAAATAGGAGTATGTAAAAATGAATAAAAACCCATTGCATGTATGTTTAAATATAAAAGTATTGCTTACGAACTCGTGCAAATCATGTCGTTATTAAAACGCTACAGTGCGTCTATTAATTTGGTTCAATTATTATAGTATGCTAATGTAATACCTGATGTAATAAATATTCTATAGTTATATAATATATAGTGTCGAATTTATATTATATGTTTTCTAATTTAACCAATTGATACTCGAACGTTAACAAGTCACATAAAAACAATAAAGTATTCACCTGATAATTAAGATTTTACGGGACTGTATAAATATAAAACATCTCCTGTTTTTTCAATCAAAGGAAATGTTTGATTCAAATCTCATACTAAACAATCCGATTCAAATATTTTTGTTGCATGTAACAGCAGTATAATGTAAATCAAATGATAAGTATATCCCAGTGTACGAACAAATACTCGTTGTAAAAAACACCACGCTATTTATAAGTAAGGAATAAGATGTTTCTGTGTATTTTTTTACATCGAGAGGGTTGTAGTTGTAATTAATTTACGTCGCACTGCAGCTGCGCAATGGGATGTTGGCGACGGTGGGAAGCGTCCCTAAGGATGATCCGAAGATTACAATTTTGATCCTCTGCAGAGAAGATGGCTTGACGAACCTGCTCTCGAAGTCGAGTACTTCACGGTAGAACAGTTTAACGAGGACCTATACCCTCGGTCCCTACGCAGGCTGATCAAAGTAGTTACTCATCCGCACACTGACCTCTGCCTGTGATGCTTGACTTCGGTGTTTTATGGGCCTCGTTGTACTTTGGGTGGAGCTAACCCGTGTTACATGGAGAGGAAGAACTCTCACGGTTAGCCTGACGGCAAGGGGACCCATGATCTGCAGGGAACCGTGTCTTAACGGTCAGTGCACTGCTGGACTTGATCAAAAGGTGTGTAATTCCCTAATAAAATCTATAAAAGTAATATGTTCTGTGTGAATTAATAACAGTTTTTAGTCGTCTTGTCGCAATTATTTTAACGCCATTGTAATAAATATATGAAAGTGCATAAAGAGCTGCTGATTTGAAAACGAAACTAATGATAACATTTTCAAGATTCTTTTAATATCTTTAAAAGTTATGTCTGTAGTATAATCGATTACCAGCTTTTGAATCAAAGGAAAGTCGACGATTGGATTCTAATTTTCTAAAATTCTTCTGAAAATATCTTCGTCTGCATAATCTTTTAACAATTTCTGAAATGGAATGTGAGGGTTTTATTTTAATGCCCACGATTCTTTAAATTTACTGTCTTTTAAAAGCAATATGCACTTGTTTAAGAAATGAAGAGAATTCGCAGTCGATTGTCTCTAGAACTAATGGACCGATTTTAATGAAATTCCATGTGAACATGCATTGATACAATACAAAACAAGTAACCATTCAACTATTGTAATACACAAGCATGATCGTGCGTAACACTCATGGAAGGTATGAAATTGCCACAGGACAATTCGGGCCAATTGCCGTAGGAAATAATTAAAATATAATTACCTTATTTCAAGTATAAAATCGCGCTGCAAGGCCTGTATATCAATCTGCAAGAGGGGACCCTTCCTCCTATTAATTCTTTTTTTTTCTGCAACTGTGTACTACAATAGTTGATTGGCTATTTGTTTTGTGGTGTATCAATGCATGTAAGTATCAAATTGCATTCAAATTGGTCCATTAGTTCTAGAGATAATCGAACAAATCTAAAAATTCTCTTAATTTTTTACACCAGTGTAATTATATTATGGCTTTTAATATAATAAAATTTGGCGATTAAAATAAAAGTTGGCGATTCCATTATAATTCTTTCAATTCCATTCCATGACAGCAGCATAGTTGGTAAACAGTTCTTGAATTGCAGGGAATGTTGACGATTCGATTCTAACCATTCTAAATTTTCTTTTTAATTCCGCGATAGCTCTTAATTAGAATAACTCTTGATATTTTTTTGTAAAATATTTCCTTCGACGCGACACGTGCGAGTAGAGGGAGCTAGCAAGTGATCGATTGCATTTTTAAAAGAAACGCATTAAGGCCCTCTCAGTTAATGCGCTTCCCCTTTTAATAACTGAGCGCAATTGAAGCCGCTAAAAGCCTTCTTTTCACTGCTGTCATCTTTGCCATTTTGACACACCGGAGAACCTTTTTACACGACGCTGCTTCTGCAATTAACCTTTTAGAATTATCAGACACTTAAAGATCGGTGTTAGGACTGATTTACATTTACTTTTCTGCATGTCGTCGGACAAATTAGATATTAGGTTGCTTAATTGAAGTCGTATCTTTTCTTCTTTTTTTTTTTCCTCGTTAAAAGCGAACTTGTTTCGTTAAAACTAATAAACAAGGATTTTCGGTAAAAGAATTGCAGATTAGAACAGTCAGTATTCCTCGTGATTGGAAATAGTGTCGTGTGCATTTTTTTTAGTTAACTTAATTTGTAGACGATTAAAATTGTAGAATTATTATTTCGAATATGGATGAGTGATAACAAGCAAAAAATCACCACAGTTAATTTAGTTTTACTTATATAAACCGCAAGAATATATACTAAAAATATATACTAAGAAATATATACTATAATATATAAAAATATATACTATAATATATAGAATCTATACTAAAAATATATATTAATAATATATATACTAAAAATAATATTTTTAAAATATCAAAATGAAAAAAAAATTCGATAGTTCGAAAATGTTTTTTTTTCAGTATTTGAAACTTCATAGTTTTCTCTAATTTTGCATCAGTCCCTCAGTGGACTGATCGCAAAGACACGGCTTCAGAAGCATCAACGGCTGCGGTCAATAGGCGGGTGGGTGACCTCTTTGATCAGCCTGCTGCGTGGTATTGATCTTCGTTAAACTGTTCTACTGCTAGAGTTCGCGCGCAGTTCGTCGGGCTACTAAAGCGGGACAGCCATCAATTATAGCATTGAAATTGTGATGGCATGTCTTCGGATCATCCTCAATGATGTTTCCCAGACCGTCGCCAATAGATAGCCCTTTGTGCAGCTCTAGTGCAGGTAATACGAGGTAAAAAGTGTATTTGTACCAAAAAAAAACCTTTGTATTTGTACAAAAAATTTTTTGTATTTGTACAAATTTTTTTTATTGAACTTTGTACTGTTTCACTTTCACGAGAAATTTATTCCGAGATGATGAAGAAAAAAATTGTTCATGTTGTAGGTGTACAGTAAAGACTGCCTGTCAGAATTCCACTCTGAGTACAGTAGATGCCAGTAGTCCCCGTTGGTTGTCTCTCAACACTCAGCAATGTATAGATTTCCAAGCTATCCGGCCAGAGCACCTCCCCCGCAATACTGTCTCAGTTGTAAGTATATCGCATCGTATAAAATCTTGGTAGTTTTTTTTTTTCTGGAAAATATGCTCTCAATTTTAATTGATAGGTGGAATTAGTGATAAATCAACTGCCGCAACTGCCCTTCGGTGCAAAATACATGTGCGTCTTTGGTCGCAGCACACCCGTCCAGGCTACAGTCACAGACCAAGGACTAGCTTGCCTTGCTCCCGTCCTGGCCGAAAGACCTCCCATACCCACGGGTAAAGGTAAGCTCATCCTCATCTATTACATTTATGAAACGCGTTTTTTTATTCGAACTAAATCAAGGGATCGTAGCTTTTTTACAAAGTGCTTATTTTCGATTGTCGTTTTTTTTTTTTTTTTTTCAAATCCCTTAAAGGTGCTTTTTTTATTGGGTGTTTTTAAAAAGTGCTTAAAGGTGCTTATTTTTGATTTTCGTTGGATTTTTTTTTTCATTGGGTGCTTTTAGAAAGAGCTGTAAGGCGCTTATTTTCGATTTTCGTTTCTGAAAAGCCTTTAAAAGGGCTTCTTTTTATTAGGTGTTTTTAAGAAGTGCTTAATTTTCCCTATTCCAAAATGAGATTTTTTTTTTTACTATGTTCGCTACGTATTATGCAAAAGCGTGCTTTTCACATTGATCTAATCACTATTTTCATAATTCATTCAACTACAATGCATTTCGGCCTATTATCGGTCCATAGCGTATGAAACGCCAATCATTTCACAGGTTTAATGAAATACTGGCGAGTCCGCATGGGGAGCTGGATTCATTGCCTTCTCATGTGCAACTCTGCTGCATTTTCCAAGATATTCTCCATTTCAAGCTTCATTTTCCACCCTCTGATATCGAACTGAAAAGTCTCTTGATTATTTTTTAAAGGCAAACATAATCAATAAAAGAGTTCTTTCTCTGAAACTAGTTATTTTATCGTGATCAAGTCGTTAAAAACCGCTGGATTGTAAGTTAGCCACCGCTAGCCAAATGACGGAAATGCGCTATGTCACAATGTTACGGCTAACCGAATGTCAAAAATGTGTCGTTTTTATATTCAGGGGTTTGTTCAGGCATTTTGTGAAAGGTCCGTTTTTGTAAAATTGTGAAAAAATGACTCGTAATTTGTGAATAAAAAATAAACGTTAAGTCACATTCTTTCAAACAGGGTCCTGCTTTTGTGAATGTGTGCAAATAGGGTCCTGTTATTGCAAAAAAAATTTTCATGGAGTTTTTAAATTGTAAAGACGCACAAGATTGACCTCAAGACTGTAAAATTATAATAAAAGGAAATTGAATTTTCAAAAATAAACAGCAATTGCTGCTACTAAATTAGGGATGCAACATACAAATATTTGGTATTTAACCTATACTGCTGAACGCAAAATATTAATTTCGGACGAATAAAGGAAGAAGCGTCTGCCGAAGACAAAACTTACTTAGTTTACATCCATCTTTCTTGTTTTCTGCCCTGGGAAGGGTTTATTCGATTAACAAAACAATAATAAAGATAAACAAATTTGTGAAGGGCCCGATTAAAAGATAAATTATTTAGGTAAGGGTCCGTTTTTAAGTTAAAATATTTTGTGAAGGGTCCGTTTTTCTGAAAAGATATTTTGTTAACGGACCCAAATTTCTTCTAAACAGCCCCTGCTTTTATTTTATACTTTAAATTCAATGTTACATAAAATAATCGACTTAAAGTTTTAAAAACTAGATTTGAATCGATGTATCAACTTTCAGCTTTTTTTGTTTTGGAGTCCAAAGAGATGGAGTAACTTTATCAGTTGTTAGAACACAATTCATTTATTGGGAACTGTGAATTTTCTTTATTTATAAGTGTTGCAACATATTCATTGAAAGCATTCAAAAGCCTGAAATAATGAAAAACAGTCAGGAAGAACTATAAAAAATAGCATATTATTACATCTGTCCCAAAAAAAAGCCGTTAATTTAATTTTTTTTTTTCTTCCTATCACGACGAAAAAGTTTTCGATAAACAGCAATCAAGACACATCTTTGTAAAAAAGTGTCTTTAGCGGAATTATTTTGTTTTATTTTATAACCGTCGTTGAACAGCTGACCTGGTATTTGGATTTACGACTTCTAACGTTCAACTCTGTAGACTTGTCATTTTTAACCCAATCCGGAAGACAAGGAAACTCCTGGAACAAGTATTGGGAGAAATTTCCTTCCTTTTTTGATGGAACAAACCCGCATTTGCGTTACATGGAGAGGAGAACCTCTCACGGTTAGCCTGACGGCAAGGGGACTGTAACTCATGATCCGTCTTCCACTCAGGATATTTTACGTCAACACTGTGGTCAGTGGGAGTCGGGTGCAGAATTCGTATCGACCAGCTATCGCTGGGATTCGAACCCGGTTCACCTAATTGGAAGGCGAATGCTCTAACCCCTGAGTCACCATGGCTCTAAATTACCCCGGGAATTACTACGATAACGATATTAATATTGAAACGATATTATTATTATTTTTTTAAAAATAGTTCTCCTGATGTGTTTACTTTATTTGTTTTTCTGTACATAGCTCATAGTGTTCTTTTTTTTTTCCAACCACAGATCACGTGTCAGTAGATTTAGCAGTCCGATCTAGTGAAACCAACAAAGATTTTCTTAATAGACTATTTGCCTTCTATGATTGTTCTGTTCATAAGACGTAAGTATCTTATTATTTCTTTCCTTGTATAATGCTTTAATGAATAAACAAGTAACATAAAAAAAAAGTCAACTCTTACTTAGGTCAAGAAGGAAATATTTTATCTTAATTACTTTTTATTAAATAATTACAATTTTTTCTTCCATATAAAACTAAAATTGATTATTTAAATTAAATGAATGAATTAATCTTTGAAAAAAACTGTATGGACATCAAGCGTCATCCACTCTAACAAGTTTCAAAAAAATGTGTTTGAACTTGAGTGGATGAATATAAAATATTTTGTTAACGATTAATCATTTGAACAAGATATATCTTTCTATATAAGAAGAGAGTGGAATGATAACACACAGCCAATCACAGAAGACTTCTGGTTAGTAACGCACAAAACAGCCAATCAAAATTGAGAACGCATGTATGTGAAAAGGTAATAATTTTTAATAATGCTGTCAAAAAATACAATGTCCTCAAATAAAACTTCGAATCAAATAATTAAGAAAATTCTACTATTACGTTTATAAAAAGGAAGATTTATTAACTCAACAACAAAATTATAACATCGCCATTACAAAAAAAAACCAAAAAAAAAACAAAACAAATCTGACACTTGTTACGTAAAGCTATAAAAAGACCGAACGATTATTATATTATAATGCAAACGATTATATATGATTATTATGAACTAAACTTTATGCAAACGATTGTTTATGACGTCATTAGATTAAAGTATCATTAACGCAATATTATCTAGTGTTTATTAATAATTTTGAGGGGCAATGTAAAAAGATAGTTGTTCTAAAGTTTTATAATAAAATGTTTGTTTTGATAGAACGCAGTTATTTATTTTAGAATTTCAATATATTTTAATAGTTTTGATAAATCGGGTAGAGTTATTGGAAGCACGAATGAACACTCTCTCAAAAACCTATTTACATTCCAAACTATCAAAATATATTGAACAGAGTTTACTTTAAAATACTTATATCTTTTATAAAAAATGGATTGATAGGCGATATCAACAGCGGCATAGAGATGAACATGATTTAGCTGCACAAACTTACCGGGAAAATAATCGTAGTGCTATCAATACGCGACGGCGGAATGCGCGGCGAAGAAACGTTGAAAACTCAAGACGTTTAAATGAAAACGAATACCTTGGTGTACTTACAAATACTTCTGATTGAAACTAAAATATTTTGTCAGTTGACAGTATTGATTCAGTTAATTGAGCAATTACTTGCAATGGTATTTGATTTTGAAATATTACTTAGAATCAACTTATTAATATTACATGTTTTAATTTGTTTGTAATTTTTGTGAAGTATTTTTTTATCGGGTTTCAATTGTTTTTAGTTTGAAATTTAAATTACTTGGGGGGGGGGGATAAAGCACCATATAGGGAGCGTCCGGCATCCTATAAGATCAACAATGATTTGAGTTAGGCTCTACCACGCGTGCTTCGGATACGGAGATTAATCTCCGGCTAATGCCCTATAGTAATGTGTTGAATAATATTGCATCCTCGCTTTATATAAGTTTATAATATTGTTTGTATAGAAATTGCTTTATATAAGTTTATAATGTTGATAATAAGTTCCTCTGACATTTTACAATCCTATCATATTCTCTCTATGTGATGTTGTGCAGGAAAATTGCCAGCTAAACTCCAGGAAAACGACTCGAAGCGAACGAAAATGTAATTGCATAGCAATTATCGGGGATTGGCGAGCGGTAGTAAGCAGAGGGCGGAGCCCTTTAGTAAATATATATAGGGGGAGTGTTAACTAATAGTATTAATGGAAAAAAGAAAAAGGCACGTGGTGTATCAGACAATTATAAAAGTATAAATTGGGTGACGTGGACCCCACGGGCTACCATGTCATGATGTTCTTTATTGAATTAATCTGACAGAGCGAATATAAAATAATTAAATATTTAAATGTGCTCCAATAAGCTAATTTTTTGTTCAAATAGAGCTATAAGTTAGACTTTATCACTGATGTTATTTTTAAAGTATGTGTAAAATTGATTCGCTTTTAGTAAAATTTAAAACAATGACTAACCCATCAGAAAATTCCATTTCATTTTTCGTTCATCCCTATTAATATTTGTAAAAACTGTATTAGCATCAAGTGTCATCCACTCAACAAGTTTTAAAAAAAGAATGTATTTGAACTTGAATGGATGAATAGAAACGATTGAAAACAAGATAATAATAGCAGGAATTGAATAAACAAAGCTTCCTGTGCTTGAATTTAAGACAAAAGTAAATTAATTTGTATAACACATTTGAAAGTGTACTCATATTTATGTTCCAATTACTGGTTACAAATTGAACCCACTTGATCATATTCATTTTCTAAATTAGAAACATTGTATAGAACAATAGTGATCTCGATTCAAATATTTTCCCCAACACCTTTATATTTAAAAGGTTTTATAAAGGTGGTTAGAGAGTTCCGATGAGGTGAACCAGATTCGAATTTCATCAATGGCTGGTCGATACGAATTCTGCATCGGGCTTGCACGACCACACTGCTCAAGTAAGCTATCCTCAGTGGATGAGAGTCCCCTTGCCGTCTGGTTAACCGTTGAAGCTTTTCTTGGTCTCCATGTAACGCAAATGCGGGTCAGTTCCATCAAAAAGTCCTCCAGGAAGGCAAATTTCTCCCTATAGATGATGCCCTTGTCTTCTGGATTGGGCTCAAACCCAGATAGCAAAATAAGGTTTATTTTCACTCAGCAAAAGCCTTTTAATGTAAACCTAAAAAGGTTTTTATGCGGTTTACGTGTGAACTTTCTAATCTTAAAGCGAGATCTGTGACCATCTGTTCTATTCTACGCACATTACCCTCATCCGAAACCTTCTATATAAAACCCTGAAAATCTAGGTTGTCGGAGGGTTTTCAAGCGTGGAAAAAAAATCCTTGTCTCAAGGTAATCTAGGTCATTATAAGGTTTCTTTTCGCAACGTCTTCTATGCTCAGCCTTGTCATGAAATGCAATTGGATCCTTACGCTAGTGTGACGTCAGCTAAAACATGATACAATACTTTTTAAACACTGATTTTTAATCCTATTAGGAAGAAAGGTTTGAAAATGCAATATTTATTGAAAAACGGTTTTTAATGCAAACATATTCTGGAGAGTAAAAAGAAAATTCTGACACAAGGTTACATGCTTTTTGGGAAATGACATTAGCGGTCATATTGTTGGCTGACGGTTATAAGATCAATCAGTAGCATATTAGTACTATCTAAAATGGATCGCTCTCAGTTCGTTGATCTTATTCTATTTGATATTCTTTTCGGGCACAAAAAAGACTTTCAGTGAAACCAGTGAATGACAGTATAAATCGAAATCTGGTTTTAGCAGAAAGCTCCATAAAACTTATACGAGCCATTTACTTATTCAAAAGACGCAAGTAGATTCCTTTTTTATGGGAGACGTGATTTTATTTTCTTTGCCATTTAATCATCTTCTTTCAGAGATTCCTGCAACTTTTCTATTGACGACGCTGCTTTCTCTTTTTCGAACCGTTGAGTGTTCCGTTGTCTTCCAAGAACTTCCGTTCGTCGTTAAGTCCTCCCCTGCTCGTATTCTCAGTATGCCGAAAACGAATCTTCACGGAAAAGCCTTTCGTTTTTCCAGAATAAAAGATGAAATAATAAACACTTATGTCCACGTTTGACTGAGGGAAGAAAAAAAATGGCGGTCGTTCTGAAAAAGGACAGGAGTTCCGAGTCTTTTACTATTAAAGAGCGAGAACAATTTATGCACAGAATACTGTCTATTCTTGCTTTAGAATACAGTATATTCTACAAACGTATTTTAAGAACTCATTCCCAATTATTTATTTAAAAAATCTCATTCAAATATCGAGAAGAATTTTTTTTTTATTTATTCGTTTAAATTATTCATGCGTAAACCTTAGCATTTTTAATTGTATAAACTTGAGATGGAATAAAATAACAAGATTTTTTTCCCATTTGAAAAGTGAGGAACAAAGGGAAAAATTAGACATAGGTAGGTAGGTATAGTTTGTCTACGGTAAGAACTCCCCCCGCCACAAAGTCTGAGGCCGTCTGCTGCTATGGAAACAAGAACAGCGCATTTCAGGAAGGATAGATCTCTTCACTTTAGGGCTAACACAATAGACCGGAGATTACCTTTCTCTAGGAGACGCGTGCCAAAACCTGTCCTAAACAGTCACCCTACACCCCTACTTGAAATAGCTATATTTCATTACCATAGTTTCCTCCACTGATCCAGACGAATGGCTTGGGGAGTTTTTACTTAAGACAAACTACACTTTATTTACGTCGCACCAGAGCTGCACAGCGGGATATTGGCGACAGTCTGGGCTCATATTGTTATATTATAACTATCATTGAACAACCGCTTTGTAATTTCAAAATTACAAGACAACTTCGTAGCCTTGTCATTTTGAACCCAATCCAGAAGACAAGGGAGTCATCCTGGATCAAGTAGTGGGAGAAATTTGCCTTCGTGGAAGACATTTTGATGGAGCTAACCCACATTTGCGTTACATGGAGAGGAAGACCACGAGAACCTTCCACGGTAAGACCGACAGCAAAAGGACTCTAACCCATCATCCGTCTACCACTGAGGATGTTTTACGTCAGCACTGTTGTCGGTGTAAGCCGGATGCAGAATTCGTATCCACTAATCATTCTTGCAATTCGAACCCGGTTCACCTCATTGGAAGGCGAACGGTAATGTGCAGATTATCCAGGTGATCTGCAGATCAACTACGTAATTTGAGAAATGAAAGCATTTCGGCACTTTAAGGGATTAGCCTAATTAATCTACACATTTAATCTTTAGAATAACTGTATCTTTGACGATTTCATTTCGCCACTATTTAAGCTTCAATACTGACTTCATTCGAAAGTGGGGTCTTTTTTTCGATTAGCGAGGAGTGTTCCGATGTCTTTTCGGGAACTTCCTTTTCGTCCTCCTCCTCCTCCATCGAATCCCGAAAGCAAATCTTTCCGGAAAAAGCCTTCCTGGAATGAGAGATGGAATACAAAAGTTCCTTTTGTGTGTTTATTTAACTAGAGGGAGCGTATTAGACAGAAAGAGGGCAAAAAAAGAAGAAAAAAAAAGTGTTCGATTCTTCTTCCAGGATCTGCATCAGGAAATTCGGGATCACAATGGCGGGCTTTTAAAGGAAGAACCATCATCCGTGGGCTTTATTGTTTCTAGCTGTCGTGTATCGAGTGCAGTTTACTTAATGTTTCTGAGAGGGGTCTTTTCTTCCAGGTTTTCTTTTCGTGGTGTTTTGTTTGCTGAAACATTTGCCATTAATGATTCTTGTTGTTTTGTTTTATTGTCGCCCGTACCCCAAGTGGGGCCAATCTTTAAGCAACGTTCTTGTTGGAAAAGAAACATTGATTAATCATATTTTTTATAATTTTTAGTGAATTCCTCGTTCTTTACCAGCCGATCTGATGAGCGGTGGATATCGATCACGTGACTAAAATAGATAATCGAATAAGTAATAAACTCTGACTGAAAAAAACAAGAAATATAAAAAATATACATATGTGTAAAGTCAATTCCTACTTAGGACAATAAAGAAAAATATTATTTTAGTTATTTTTCATTAAATAATTGCAATATTTTCTCCCATATAAAACTAAAATTTATTAATTAAGTTTAGTAAATGAATTAATATTTGAAAAAAAAACTGTATTCACATTAAATGTTATCGACTACAAGTTTTAAAAAAAAATGTATTTGATGTTGAGTGGAGGAATAAAAAGTATTTTATTTAACGATTGAATTGATTGATCGAATTGAATTGAATGATTGATTTTATTAACGATTTGAACAAGATAGAGGGAAAGTGTGAACTAATAGTAGGAATTGAAACCTCTTTGCCTCAACAAAATCCCCCTGTTTTTCAATTATTTCGATTACCTAGTTATGATTTAGCATTTGTTTAATTTGACTCTTTGTGTTGCAGTTGTACTTCTTGTGTCACTAGTTCGTGGGCTTGCAGTTGGTGTCCGCATGAGAACAAATGTACGCACAATGTCACCATCTGTTCTAGAACTGTTATTTCTGGAGAAAATGTAAGTTTTTCTTTCAGCCTGCAATGTAAATTTAAAAAGAAAAATGTGATATTTTTTAAATCCTATTTCGACTAATTTCTTTATTTTGTATTTTGTAAAAGTAAAAAAATGCGATATTTTTTAAATCCTATTTCCCATGAGTTATTCGACTAATTTCTTAATTTTGTATTTTGCAAAAATAAAAATGCGATATTTTTTAAATCCTATTTCCCCAGAACTATTCGACTGATTTCGTTCAAATTTTGTATTTTGTGTAAAAAAAAAAATAAAAAATAAAAAAAATAAACGATTTTTTAAAAATTTTATTTCCCAACAACTATTCGACTCATTTCATTCGAATTTTGTATTTTGTCATTTAAAGTTACATAGTTTAAAACAATGTAGAAATTTATATACCTTACCATTCGACCCTTGTTACATTAAATAATAAAAACGAATTTTAAAAAAAAAACTAATAAAATTTATTTTTGACTCGGAATAATCACTAGATAAATTTCGTATATAATTAAGTGCAAAACTTTTTCGATTTGCTTGAAAAATTTTCGAGCTATTGCAAAATACGCAAAATGTAAAATTATTATATGGAGGCCCACACTTCTGACCGCTCTCCCGACTTAATTATCGGGACCCTATTTTCCAGATTAAGTCTACCCCCCAAATAAATAAAATTAATTCAACTTATTTATTCCAACAGAATCCTCAGAACTCTCTAATCAAAGGTCGCCAACACTGCCCAAGTTTCAAGTTGGAAAACGAGATTCTGTTGCCCAGTGGGGTGCCCAAAGAAATAACTATAGAAGTTCGAAATCTTCCAAGTGTGGTTGTAAGTTCTGTTTTTACTGTTCTAAATTACATAGATGTTTTTCGAAATTATAATTTATACTTATCAATACCATCTTAACATATAGAATTACCAGCGCTTAAAGGAGGCAAATAGCTTAAATAGTAATAGTAACTAATATATATATATATATATTGAAAAAATATGGAAAATAGTAAGTAATGAGGATTAATGACAAGCGTAGAAGAAAAATTATTAGAGTAAACTTATTTTTTAAAAATATTAAAAAATAAACTTCTTGAAAATCTGGAAAACAAAATAAGGAAAAGTTATAATCTCTTCATCAGCTCACACGGTTATATCTGTAAAAAAGAGTGCTTTCTAATATTGTATTAATCTAGCCAAAGCAAGATATATTAATACAATAACGTGAGGAGCACTAAAAAAAATTAGAAACAAAAATGGAACACATTGATTAAAAAGTATATACGAAATAAAGCATGTCAAGCAAAAAACAGAAAATTAATTGTTAAGAAAATACAGAACAAAAGACGAAAGGAAATCTATAAAGCCAGGAGCGAATTCGAATGAACTATATATATATATATAAAACTTTTTTTTTAATTACACATTTGGCGATATTTTTTGACCTAAAAGAAATGCATTAAAATAGAGAAATAATTATCGTTTTTTGTAAATATTTAAAGAGTCCAAACAATGCAGCGATGGATTATTTATTCCAATGTTAGGGTGACCTGAAAGTAATGTAGTTTCGGCGCATTAAATATTTGTCAGTCTTAAAACTAAATTCATTTTTTTCGATCTAGCATTGAAGAGTTGTTGCTAACGAGGGTGAATACAGTACTGATAAAAAAGTAAAACCCTGATAACAAATATGAAATGCTCCGAAACGACATTACTTTCCGGTCTCCCTAATATGTAAAATAAAAATGAGCTCACAAATGCTTATTTCAATTTCCGTTGTTAGCTGACCTATGAACGGCAAAACTTAACAGTCCTATAAATAGCTGTCACAAACAGTTCTAAATAATTCGCCAATAAGTAACGACAGAGTCTCTATGTGAGCATAATAATGTTAGAAATTCGAATGCAACATTATTAACACTAAATGTCACAATGGCATGTATGCTAATATTCACGTGATGAACATCTCTAATGCATAGGTAGGGGTAATGGATTGGCAATCAGGAATGAATATTTAATAAAATCCGAATGAATGAATTTCGTGAGTCCAAGTGTGCGAGATTTTCTTGCGCAACAACAAAAACATTTTCATCCTAGTTCTCTAATCTTTTATTTTACTCTTGGATTGCCATTTACCTCAATTTAAGTCCCACAGTGGACTGAAGACACGGTTCCCAGTAGAACACCGAAGTGAAGCATCACTCGCTGCCGTCAGTAAGCGGGTGGGTGACCACACTATGATCAGCCTGCATAGGGACCGAGGGTGCTCAGTATCGGCCCTCGTTAAACTGCTCGACCGTAAAGTGCCGGATTTGACGTGCAGGTCGTCAGACTACCAAATCAGGTTAGCCATCCCTTCTGCAGCAGATGGCATGTCTTCGGATCATCCTCAGGGATGTTTCCCAGACAGTCGCCAATAGCCCATTGGGCAGCTCAAGTGTGACGTCAATAAAATACTTACCTACCTACCTACATCAATTTGTATGTTTGTACCCAATCAAAAGAACTCCTGTATGACCCACACGCAGGGCTTTTTGAATAAAAACTAATGTACATATGCATTAACATTCCTAGGAATATTCTCACTGCTCGAATAGACAAGCGTACGGATGTTTAATATCTACATGTTAGAACAACAACTGTTCGATTTGCAGTTACGCATTGTGAATCGAATGCAGCTTATAATATTCCATTTTGCCTAATGAATCCTAGCCACTAAATACGATGAAATCCGTATGTTTGTATACGAATCTATTTGTTGGATTCGAACCTGTGTCGCACCACCCGTCTTCTGAACAATCCCATTTCTTCCTTAGTCTCTTATTAAGTTTCAAATTTACGGATTTGTTGGGTAGGGTTTATTCTATGCTAATTTTTCAGAGAAATAAGAATAAATTCGATGCAATGATCAAAATTTACAAGAAAATTGTACATTTTTAGTAGAATTTTATATGCGGTAGTGCAAAAAATTTTTTTAAAAAAATTTTTTCATTTTTTTTCTTCTGAAATATGATACAAGGAACAAAAATTATTAAAAAGCTCTAAATTTTTCCTTGATACGAGGAAAATAAATTAAGTTAAAACGTTTTTTATACCGGGTAACTTTAGGCTTTTGTTTGTGTCTCTTTAACTAGTTTCATTTTGTCTTTATTTACAGGAAAACTTCCAATGTGTCATTGAAATTGAAGGTGCCAAAGAACGAGTACTTGCTATAGCTAAAAACAGCAAGATCATATGTTCTGAAACTGCAGTAAGTGTCCTACTTTCCCTCTCTGCACCATAGATTTATACAGCTATATATAGGCCATAGTACTCCATGCTGCAGAAAATCTTTCTCTACATTTCAAGTGTGTAGCCTGGTTGGAATAAGGGTCCAAGAGGTCGTGGGCTCGACGTTAAATCTGTCGAGTCACAAAGTCCTCTATGTTCCCGTTGCAAATCATACCTCTGGGGGTACTGATCTAGGATTTTCTTTGTCTTCTTGATTGGATTCAAAATGACAAGGCCACGGAGTCGTAAACTGGGCCGGCTGTTCAACGACGGTTATAAAAATAAAAGTTTGTAATAAATGTACTGCCGTTAGTCGTGATATCACGTAATCTTCAGTCGCCTCTTCTATTATTTACAATGAATAGAGTGACACTAAAAATTTTACGTCTTCTATGATGGGTTGCAACTTAAGGACCTTAACTTGGACAGGTTTTGAAGGATAAAAATGTTTTGGAAAAAGATTTTTCATGTCTGTCTTGATGTTTACATCACGCCTTTAAGCTGATTAAGATTCACACTCATTTATTTACAATGCTAATGAAGTGAGTGAATAAGACTAATTGAAAAAGGAGTGATATAACTGCTCTCATCGTCACTAGTGGCCTGAAATAAGTCGTGCTGCATTTTTTTATTAGCCTGAAATATCTGGATTCGTTTCAATAAGTCTGAAAAGTACTGAAGATTCTCAATAAGTTTTTAATCCATTCTTTCAAATAACATGTTTTTCCACTCATTCTGGTAAAAGAATTCAGCTTTTTAAATGTAAATATTTTATCCACATGATTTCTCTCCCTTCAGAACGATATTTCTATAAATATATATAAATCAATATTTATTAATAATAAACATAAGCGTGTAAATGTTTATATAAGTAACAGCGTTTTTAAAAAGTGCTTACTTTCGATTCTAAAAAGTGCTTGATTTTCCCTTTTCGAGATTTCTTTTACATGTCGATTTTCACATTGTTCTATTCACAATGTTTTCATTCAACCACAATCGGCCTACCGTCGGTCCATAGCAGCAATCATGTTAGAAGAAATACTTGAGCTGAGTTCGGTGGGATGTGTGCTGCATTTTGCTAGATATTCTCAATTTGCTAATGTATATAGTGCTTAAAAATATCTTTTAATGCTTAAAAAGTGCTTAAAAAAGGTACTTATTTTTTGTTGAAAGATCTCACCCTGGTAATGTTTATATAAATGTTTACTAAAAAATATGCGTGTAATGGTTCGATTTTATTTGTTTTTTTTCTTCTTTTTAGTACACATATCAGGCAGAAGTAGGAAAAGTAACAGCAACATTGACCGTTTTATGGAACGACGATACATACATCGATAAAACCAATGGTAAGAAAAGAAGAAGAAACTCGTTTTTTTTTTACTATAAATTCTCTTCCGATATCATATTAACCAGTTTTTTATTTTAATTTTTAGTCACTCTCTACAAGTGTCCACTTCTGGGCAGTCACGGGGGTCGGGCAGACTGCTCTCTTTGCCTCACTCGCGACCGCAAGTACCAGTGTGCGTGGTGTGACGGCTCTTGCAAATACGGCGATTCTTGCCTCGTTCCTGTAGCCACTACCTGTCCACCCCCCAGAATAGATTATGTGAGTTTTCGAAGCACTCTTACCCCCCAAGGAAATGAAAAAAATCAATATGACACTCATTTTTTTTTTTTTTTTAAATTTCTAGATCCACCCTTTGAGTGGTCCGATCGAAGGAGGGACACTGGTCACTATAGAGGGTAGCAATCTCGGGACAAGCGAAGAGGAAGTCCGGGACAACATCACCATTGGAGGAATTCCTTGCATCTTAGAGGACTACTCTGTGTCGGTCAGGTAACAATACAAATTGAATCCATCCTCTTTCGTTCTATGTTCTAAGAATACTTTTTAAGGGTCATCGTTCTTTTTTTCTTTCTCTAGAATTTCGTGTCGAACGGGACAGAGTCCGAGTTCCATGTCGGGCGATGTCCTGGTCGGAAACAAGGCAGGAGTGACTCTAGCAAAGGAAAAATTCTCCTACAAAGTAAGTTTTCCAACTGACTTTTATTCATGAATCCCCGTGAGCCGTGGTGGCTCAGGGGATAGAGCGTTTACCTTCCAATGAGGTGATTTTATTCGAATCCCAACCATGGCTGATCGATACGAATTCCGGCATGCACCCACCACACAGCTGAAGTACAATATCCTCCTCAGTGGTAGACGGATCATGGGTTAGAGTCCCCTTGCCGTCCTCATATGATCTCAAAATTATTCTAACACGCATCTTTGTTATTTCTTAGATATCATCTTTGTTCTTCTTCATGTCATATCTTGTAAATCTGTAAAAAAAAAAGAAAAATTTAAATGATTTAATAAACACTCCCTGATCAAAGTATGCTCCCAGGGTTGTGGTGGACTGGACTAGTAGCAAGACGTGGACAATACGTGAAAGGGTTTTTCAAGCCTAGGTACGTGCCCACGTCTGGAGGCAGTCCTCTTACCGTTGGGCTAACCATGAAAGGTGTCCTTGGTTTTCCTCTCCATGTAACGCAAAAGTGGATTGGTTTCCTTAAAAAAGTCCTCTATGACGGCACATTTCTCCCAATACTTAATCCAGGCGTTCTCTTGTCTTCTGGATTGGGTTCAGAATTACAAGGCTACGGAGTTGAACATTAGTAGTCGTAAACCCAATAAATTGGGTCGGCTGCTCAACTCCAATTATAAAATATTAATCACCGTGAAATCACCCTCAGAAAATTATTTCTGAAAATGCACTGCAATATTTTTTTTAGTAAAGATGACGAAAAAATCCTACAGTGCAAATTCTCTTTAATTTAAACCATAGAAATAGAAAGTTCAGTTAAACAATGAAGTTTCAAATGTAGATTCTTTTCTTTAATTTTCAAAATATCATAATTTAAACAAATTATGGCAGGATATAATCCAGGATTATGCGGAGGAAAGTAATCCTGCCATAGTTTAAACAAATTATGTCAAGAACACTTCAGATTATGGCATTTTGAAGAAATTTTTGTTACTCTAGGTTTACCGTTACTCACTTTTACTTTTCTCTATTTAAAATGCCAACAAAAACGAATTTACCGTAAAAAGTTTCTCCTGTTTTGATAAAATTGTAAATGGCGAAAAAAAAAAACGATACTTTGGGATTATCCTGTCTACACTCGCGAAACTGCGCAAATCCTTTAGCGATGAAAAGCAATTTCCAAAATAAACATAAAAATTCTAAGCACATTAAATTTATCAAATAATAATAACAAAAAAAAAAGAAAAGAAAAAAATATAAGTGTAAAAATACCTAAAAAAAAAAGTGTTAAACTGAGTTAAAAACCTTTTTTTTTAATACATAATTACACATTGAATTATTCTTGAATCTAATATTATAAATCATTCCACGGCCGAAAATCCTTGAAAGAGCCAACAAACAAGTCATTAATCGCCGCCACATAAATTCTTTTCAAGTGCTTTCGGGTAGTGTTTCGTTATTTTGCCACACCCCCACAATCATAAACATTTGCGGTTATTGGTGTAGAAGGTACCTTTTTGTCGCCAATGTCTTGAGTTAGATAAAAGGGGAGCTACCTAATTTTGTACTTTATGTCAATTATCAAAAGCCATGGTAGCTAGTTTTCGATGAGAACCCACAATTGTGTTATATGGAGACGGCTAGCCCGTCTACCATTGTGTGAGGGACGCGATGGCTGATCGATACTAATTCCGCGTCCGGTTTGTACTGACCACAGTGCGGACGTAAAATATCCTCAGTGGTGAACGAATCATGGGTTAGAGCAACACCTCCTAGAAGTATGAAGGCCTCAGCACGGATCAATTTAGTAGTCCGATGTGACGAAGTTAACTGCGCAGTTGATGAAAAATAAGAAAGATGTCATTACGTTCGGGGTATTAAGCTGCGCAGTGGTTGAAAATACGATATATGTCATTACGTTTGGACTACTAAAGGATATTTATGGTAACCCGTGCAGAGGCCTACTCTTTTCTAGGAGGTGTTGGTTAGAGTCCCCTTGCCGTCAGGCTAGCCGTGAGAGGTTCTCGTGATCTCCCTCTCCATGTAACGCAAATGCGGATTGGTTCCATCTAAAACAGCGTGTTTCCTAAAGTGTGGTACGCGTACCCCCAGGGTTTCGGGAACAGTTTAGCGGGGGTGCGCGTTCTTATACATATTTCAAAAAATTTTATTACGAAAATTTCAAATTTTTTATTTGAAACAAAGCTAGCCATGAAAATTTACAATTATGTATGTTTTTATTGTCTATTTTTTGCAAAGTTAATAATGAGTGGTGTAATCAGCCAGTTGTGGTCTTCAAAAAAAAAAGAAATAGATTATTGGACGTAGAATCGCATCTCAGACTGAAATTGACCACAGGAGAGCCGAATTAAGATGAACTGTTATCACCGCAAATACAATATCATCCTTCGCACTGATGCAAATAAGCTTATTAACAAAACTTTGTACCAAAAAAGAAAAACATATCTTTTAAAAAATACATTAATTTTTTTATGAGTGGTACACAACGTTACGAAAAGGGTACACAAAAGTCAGAAGTTTGGGAAACACTGTAAAAGTCCTACACGAAACTAAATTTTTCCCAATACTTGATCTAGGTCAGTGTTTCCCAAACTAACGACTTTCGTGTAACCTTTCTAAATTTTTCGTAATGCTGTGTACCACTAATAAGAAATTGAATGTATTTTTTATTATAAAAAAATTGCACAAAAGTTAAAAATCACAACGGGCTCCTGACAACACTAATTATTAACTGTTAACTCAGCAAAATAGTCAATAGAAAAATACGTAATCGTAAATTTTCATGGCTAGTCATGTTTTTAAATAAAAATTTTTGAAATTTTCGTTTGTTGTAAGATATTTCGCATAAGAATGAGTACCCCCGCTAAACTGTTCCCGTACCCCTGGGGGTACGCGTACCACACTTTGGGAAACACTGATCTAGGTGGTCACTTGCCTTCTGGATTGGGTTCAAAATGACAAGGCTACGGAGTGGGTGCCTGGATAGCCTGGTTGGTAAGGCACTGGGCCCATCCCCACCGGTGAAGACTCCCCGTGTAGTAAATGGTGACTGATGCACGTAAAAACTATCGAGTCACAAAGTCCTCCATAACAAATCATACCTCTGGGGATCCGTGAGTTTCCTTGTCTTCTGGGTTGGTTCAAGGCTACGGAGTTGAACAATAGTAGTAGTAAACCCGGCTGTTCAGCGACTGTTATGAACTTGTATTTAAAATCTGCATTGATTGCCTTTAAAAATAAAGAATTTCTAAATGCTGCAATTAAGGAAAAAAGAGGATTCCCCTAATTGCGTAACGAATCAACAAGAGGAAGTGGATAATTAATTTTCCGATGAAGTGGATTATTTTGAAAAAGATAAGAAAAAATAACCCCTCTCTCTCGAAAAATACATTTTCAGAAAAAAGAAAGAAAGAAAAATAAAACGGGAGCCTCATTATAGGCCCGGAGTACATAGCTCTGTTTGCTTAAATAAAACAGTAAAAAAATGAACCGAAGAAGAAAAAATGTTGGCGAGTGGATATTTAAAAAGTTAAAAAGAAAATATTTTGTTTACCTTATCTTCTTTGTTTGATTTGTAATCGAAAAACTAATTTCAAAATGGTGCTAGGATGTGACCAGTTAAGAATAAAAGAATCTTATTGAAATTTTGTTTCAATTCCCCCCCCCCCCCCATAGAAATGCCATAGTGGTAAAAGATTTTTTCCTCTATAGAAAAGTCATTCTAAATTTTTAGTGATAGTCCAGGCATCATCATTGACCGTTACAGATACGTCTTAATTTGGATGTAATGATCTCAGAGAAATAAATAAAACATTTTAAGAAAAATTTATTTATTAGCTATTAAAAAAGGCCATAATTTTTAAAAAAAAAAATTAACATGGGTAAGTATATATTACAAACATTCCGAGAAAACTCTGGCTAACCAGCATTTGTCAGTACATTTATCGTTTTTACTCGCTCGGAAGTTTGCCGATTTTGATGTTGGACTGCACCCGTGTTTTGTTTGATTGTATATCCAAGGGTCCCCAACCCTATGCCCGCGGGCACCATGGCGCCCGTCGATCGATCTAGGTGCGCCCGCTGCTTGTGCCCAACGATAAAATATTTCAGTTTTCCATTTTCCCAATAAATGCTTTGCAAATACATACTGAAGTACGCTGGCTCAATAAAGGCAAAGTACTTGATAGATTTCTACATTTAATTGGAGAAACAAAAAATTTTCTTGCAGCCAAAAATCAAACATTTTTAGAACTAAGAGATCCTCTTTGGCTAGCAGATTTGTCTTTCATAACGGACATAATGGAAAAGCTAAATAATTTAAATTTGGAGCTGCAGGGAAAGGACAAACATAAAGCAAAAATGATAGAGGTTACAAACTCGTTCGTAGCTGAGCTAGTTTTGTGGATATCACACTTGAAAATGAAGTCTCTTGTGCATTTTCCAAACATGAAAAATATGATAGGTGACAGTGAAATTGACTTATTAACATTTGTCATCAACCTCCGGTTGCTTAAAGATCAATTTAAAAAGCGCTTTCAACTATTTAATATCATCGAGCCTTTGATAACTTTTTTGTTTATCCTCTTACTAACCCAATAAACGTAATAGCTACATACATTTCAGAATTTCTTCAAGTAAAGCGAGAAGAATTGGAGGTCTTCAGAATGACATTATCCTCAAAACTATTACATCACATGAGAAATTCTATAATATAGTTGAAGGTTCCATTCTTAAAAAGAGCATCATATACTCCCAATTATGTAGCGCTGGCCAGCGAAATGCCATGCCAAAAACCACATTGACTATATTTTATAAATAAATTTTATACTTGGTATGTTTTGAAAGTAATTTAGTAATCATTTATTTTACAGAAGAATATTAATACTCATATGTTAAATTAATGTGTATTATTACCTATGTCTACCAACTATAAATTTATCTTGAAAAAATAAATGGTGCCCGCCGATATTCTGGCTCTTAGGTACAAAAAGGTTGGGGACCACTGGACTATATACGATGGTTGCTGAATTGGCATAGAAATAAGAGGCTTCACTGACGTTGTTGTTTTAAGAACTATCCGACTCATTGGCCCGGAATAGTGAACTGATTTTAAATTAAAATGTTTTTTACTCATTAAAAAGAAATTCACATTTCAACTTAAAACTTGTTTTGTTTTTGATCCTTGCATTTATTAATAAAATAAAAATAAAAAATATATTGATTTTTTGCATTTTTTTTTTCTTCTTCAAAATAATTGGGAAAGAAAGTGTTTAAAGGGATCAAGAAAAATCATTCTCTTCATTTCTGTTAGGATTCATATTCAGTGGTTGGAACTAGTGATGCCCACTAGGGCATCTTCAGTTGCCAAAAATTGGTAATTGAAAATTAATGAATTGTTCTCAACGGACAGTTAGGAGCATGGGTAGAGATCCAAGGTTGGCGATTTATCGAAAGATATCATTGCCGAAAATAAAGCCAACCCCCCATAATCAATATGAAATAAGTTGGCGATCGCAAATTGCCAAAAAGACTGTTAGAATGCCATGCAACTGAAACATTTTCACGGTAATAAATAGATTTCCATTTAGTGAATCTACATTAGTATTGGAATAAAAAGTTAGCATTGATCGATAAGAAAAGCTTCATATTCGCTTTTTATAAATTGCAATAAAAATTAAATACATTCAATTCGATTAAGAATGATTAAAAAAAATATGAGTTTAAGAAACGAATTTTAAGGGCTAGGAAACATATGTAATGCCTATTGTGGCACATTACGAAGGCTATAAAAAGTTGATTTTAATGATATGGGTGAAAAAATGTATTGATTTTTGTGTGTACACAGGTGGTGGAGCTGTCTCGGGTTCAACCCAACAAAGGTCCTCAGTCTGGTGGTACGCGACTTTATCTCATCGGATCGAATCTCAATGTCGGAAGTCACCTGAAAGTCATGCTCGACGACCTTCCCTGCAATGTCGACAGGTAAGAGCACTCGATAAGCCCAACTTTTTTAACTAACCAATTTTATAAAAAGATAAACTTTTTTAAGCCTATTCATCCTTTAAGCCTATATGTTTGATATGTACTATATATTGAAAAAGTGGGTTTTTAAAAAGCCTATTCCACCTTTTTTCCTATTCGCCTTCTGAAGCCTGTTATACTATATATTGAAAAAGTCCTTCTAAATTACAAAAAATGGATGATTTTCAAAATTTTTCTCTGCAATATTTTTAGAATCTAGTTATTTTATCATGATTACGTAAAGCTTTTGAAAATGTTTTTTAATTTTATTGATTTTATGTTTATGAATTAAAAACTTTAAACAATAAAAAAAAACATAATTTTTATTCCTGCATAAATCCTAATTAAGATTTTTTTTGTGAAGTGATTAAAATAATTTTTTAGTGCTTAAAAGGTGCTTATTTTTTGTTCAAAAATCGGGGTACGCACCCTGATAATTAAGGAATAGTAAGCTCCTTAACAGTCAAACAGTTTTTGTGCGTGAATGTTGATTCTGAGAAAAAAAACGAATTTTCAAGACGTAGAAAAAGATTTTCTCGCTATCCCATTTTCACTGGGTTGAAACCCTCGAAAAGAACCAATTTTTCCACATTACTAATTTGCCTTGACTCAATAATCCTCAAAATTTAGAAGTTGGCGATATAATCGTCATTTTTGGAAAAAATTGACATGAATCGTTCTCCCTCTTTAATCTCCATACGTCAATAATTGTATAATTAATAAAAGCAGGGGTCTGTCCAGACATGTTGTGAAAGGTCCGTTTTTGTAAAATTGTAAAAAAAAAGACTCGTAATTTGTGAATATAAAATAAATGTGAAGTCACATTCTTTCAACCAGGGTCCTGCTTTTGTGAATGTGTGGAAATAGGGTCCTGTTATTGCAGAAAACTTTTTTTAAGGAATTTTTATATTGCAAAGACATAAAAGATCATGCTTAACACTGTAAAATTATAATTAAACAAATTAAATTTTCAAAAATAAACGGCAATTGCTGCTATTAAGTTAGAGATATGACATGCAAATATTTGGTATTTAGCCTATACTGCACAGTTCCGCAGTGGACTGATCGTTAAGACACAGTTCCCAGCAGATCACCGAAGTCAAGCATCACTGGCTACGGTCAGTGTGCGGGTGGGTGACCACTTGGATCAGTCTGCGTAGGGACCGAGGGTGTGCGGTATGGGTCCTCGTTAAACTGTGCTACCGTAACGTGCTCGACTTCGCGCGCAGGTCGTCGGGCTACCGAAGCGGGGGTGCCATCCCCTCCGCAGAGGATCAAAATTGTGATGGCATGTCTTCGGATCATCCTCCGGGATGTTTCCCAGACCGTCGCCAATAGCCCACTGTGCAGCTCTAGTGCGACGTAAATTAACAACAACAACAACAGCAGCCTATACTGCACAACACAGAATATTCATTTCGGACGAATAAAGGAAGAAGCGTCTGCTTAAGACAAAACTTAGTTCGTTTACATCTGCCTTTCTTTCCCCTCCTTCCTGGGAAGGGTTTATTCGATTAACAAAACAATAATGAATAAAAGATAAATTATTTTGTGAAGGGTCCGTTTTAAGTTAAAATATTTTGTGAAGGATCCGTTAAATTTCTTCTTAATAGACCCCTGAAAAGATACCAAAAAAAGAATCTCACTAGGGCACTACTAATGACATACTTTAGCCAAGCACTATAGGTTTCCAAATTGACTTGTGTTTTCAGGACGTTAGCTAGCAACAGCCAAATCAGTTGTCGCACTACCAGGAGCCCCGTGCCAAACTACAATGTGAGTACTCTGAAGTTATTCGTGGATAAGGCCATCCTAGTCCTCCACAACCCCTTCTCATACAGGGATGATCCCATTGTCAAGAAGATCACCCCCCTCAAGAGCTTCGTCAGGTAAGCCTTTTACGGAACAATGTTTCTTAATGTAGGTGCTCTCGAATTACATGTATATTACTTTTGTTGACTACGTAAGTTATCACAGGTTTTTATTTAAAAAAATGGAACGTAAAAACATTGAGCTCATTTTTTTCCCTTTCGAAGTTGCCAGATTTTCGAATTCAAAATATTATTTAAGATGTTAACGAGAAGCAAACAAGAAAGAAGTATGCAACTTGAAAGAGTAGCAACAGATGTCTTCGTTTGAAGTTGTTAGTGCTTTGTTTTAGTTAGAAATGGCGAAAAGTTTCCTGATATTTAAATAAATGTAATTTTTATTAACTGTGTTTCACTAACATTCCGTTGTTCTTTATTGCGATATCCGACAGGTAAGCTATACAATTTAAAGCATAGTTTTGACTATTAAAATACACAAATGCTCAGCAACCTGTATAATTAATTTAGAAGTATGACACAAATGTGAAGTAAAATGAAAAACGAAAATAGATAAACAGATCGAATGCAATGATACTTCAACGTTCTAAGTAGAACAAAATGGCGACTTTGATCGGCAGCAGCCAATCAAAATTGAAAGCAGCACAAAGGGCTTACTAACTAGATCTTCAATTAAAACTCGGAACTGTTCTGATTCGAAAATCATTTTCACTTCGAGAATTATTAAAAATGAAGCATAAAACACAATTCTTTTTTCTAAGTTGCCAGATTCTCAGATACAAAATATAAATTAAAATATTAACTAGAAGCAAGCAAGACGGAAGTGTAAAACTTCGAGTCAGTGGCATCGCAAAATTAATAGATATTAGAAATCTTGCATTATAATGAATGCAAAGAGTATTTATAATTCTATGTGAGTCAGTTAAAGGAAGAACCTTTTGTAATAAATGACGCCTTCTATTGTTATTTTGCAGCGGTGGCCGTGCAGTGACGGTGAGCGGGGTGAATTTTCTGCCAGTTCAGCAGCCAAGGATGATCGTCTACCTCAACGACACCCTCGTCAATGAAACGGTAATTACCCTTTATCTCTACTTCTTCCTCCCTTTCAGCACGAATCTTCTAGAATAAGATCGATTTTTATTATTCTATCTAAAAATAAAATACATTTTGTTAAGAGTACGATTTGGGTTTTATTTTATATCTTCTTAACTTACATTAATTTTTTTATCGCTTCTGTCGTACTCTGTGCATTTTCTACACCTCGTCGTAATTTCAAAGTCTCATGGTTTTTGTAACTTAAAAAAAAGCAAAACAAATTGCGACGCAAAGAGAAAAAACTCGCAAACAGGCACTTAAAATTGTAATAATTTAGAATAAATTGTAGTTTCAACAAAATAATTATAATAATATGTTTATAAACAGATATGGCCCTTTCAGCACGTCGAATTTCAACTCAATAACTGCATTGCTGCAGTGTTTAGAAAGGCCCTCGTGGTATTATTTACTACAAATTAATCAATTAATAATTACTAATTCTCTAATGCGAATTTTTTTTATCTCATCGCAAGTAGACTTCGTCGTCGCGTTATCTTCAAAAAGAATTTATCGCTAATCAAAATCTATACCGTTTACCGATTAACACCACTAATTAAATTTGCTTTGCAGCTGTGCGTCTGACGGCAATAGTAGTTTCAATCGTTCCTTAACAGCTATTTAAAATCACTTTCACTAATTCACATTCGTAATAACCATTTTTGATCCGAATGTATATTTTTTTATTTCTGACAAAAAATAAATCATTTTTACTCCTTCTAGTCTACATTAAAAATTCAGTTTTTGAAATGATTATTTTTTAAATGTTTGCAGATATGCGAGGTGAGATCAGATCACTTGATGGTGTGCCCCTCCCCTTCAGTGTCGAGTTCCGCCACCAGATGGCACCTCTCTCAAACAGATTACTTGGCAGAAGAGAGTGCGGATCACTTACTTAAGTTGCGAATCGGCTTCATCATGGATGGGGTGGAGAGTGTGAGATCCCTGCAGGATTCATTTCCTAGTCTGCATTCGGATCTGATCTACGTCACTGATCCAAAGTTCTTTGTCTTCGAAAATAATGGCATCAAGCTTTACAAGGGAGAATCTCTCGTCATCGAGGTCAGTCTTTTGCCGCATCTTAACGCGGACTTTTGTTCACTGTTTTATTTAAATACAATGGTGTAAGAAATTAAGAGAATTTGCAGTCTCTAGAACTACTGGATCGATTTTAATGAAATTTGTTATGTATGTACATAACACTCGTTGGAGTCGGACGGTATGGAATTGCCACTGGACAAACAATTCGGGCCAATTACCACAGGAAGTGATAAACTGCATTATTTCAAGTGTGAAATCAAGCTGCTGTATGAGGGGACCCTATTCCCTATTAACCCAATTTTTTACCGCTGTTTCATACCTTCCGACTCCAATCGATCCAGTAGTTCTAGAGACTGCAAATTCTCTTAATTTCTTACACCATTGTATTTGCCTCAACTTATGTTGTAGCTAGTAAAAGGTGTAGTTGGCTCTGTTATGAAAAGAGCCCATTCGTTTCTTGGTATGAAATGTAGAAACAAGATTCAAAATCAGTATTTATTGAGATTTGAAACGTTTATTATTTAGGTTTGCGTAAATATTTACGTTTTAGCTGTAACCTCGGTTCACAAAATTACTTCACTGTGTTACTAAATAAAAAGATCACTAGCTGTCCATTTTTTTAAAGTCTTTAACTGATTTGATTGTTAACATAGGCCTCAGGCTACACTAATACCTTTCATTTGACAGCGTGACACCGGTATTTTTTTAAATCATAATTTTGTGTTTTTCAATATTATTGCTCTGTAAATAAATCGCCAAATAGATGAACTGCTAAAAAGCAACTGCATTTCATCAAAAAATTATTCAACAACATAATTAAGATAAATAAAAGTACTTTTTTCAAAAGCGCGCATGAGTAGCCTATCCACAACGAAGAAGCGCTCAAGTCAAAATTATTGATGATCCCATCGAAAAAATTTGACGATTTATATGTTGGCTTCAGAGCGTTTCATGATGGTCCAACATCATCCACCATTTTGCAATATGTGTTCATGGTTTTTGATGTGCCGAAAACCATTCAATGATGGAAATTACTACTTTAATACACTATGATAGTAAACCATCAAGAAATGTTTGACTCTCATGGACCATGATGGTTACTGAGCTGTTGAATCTTGTTGGTTCTCAGGAATAATTATTGCATATATACAACCATCAGAACAATTTGGGTTTTTTTATTTTTATGTTTAACCATCAGTCCGAATTCCTACATTGGGAGGATTGTTATTCATCGTCGTTTCAACATTTGATTTCTAAGAAACTCTGATGATTCAACACGAGCAAACCATCGAAACAAGTCTTCTGTCATAAATCAGTCTTACATCGGGGTGATGGTTACCTTCAAAAAATATAATGGTTCATGATGAAATTATGGATGGTTACCATCAAGATCATGTTTTGTCTATCAATGGAAAACCATCAAAAATTTTGACTTGGGTAGCTGCGCTGAATGGTTTTATTTTTATCCACACTTTGTAACTCCCCTTTGTGGCTACTCTTCTGACTATTATGTTGCTTGTGTTTTTGGGTGTTTTAGTTAATGTTACAATGTTCATGTAATCCATGAATTCTCATTCTGAACAGGGTGAGAATCTTCGCCTTGCGAGCACTGAGCCCGAAGTAAATGTGACCATTGGTACAAGACCGTGCAATTTGACCGCATTAGCTTACACGCAGCTTGTCTGTCTTCCACCAGAAATGCAACCATCGGGAACGGACGAATTCGGCCGCCAAACAGAGATTGGACTTCCATTAGTGGTGGTGAGTGTCAATTTTATTTTATTTCTGAGCTTTACTAAAGTATACATTATCGTTAACATATTGCCACATATGAAACACATTTGTTGCCCTTTCCGGTGACTTAACGTTATTAGATTAAAGCAACACACGTTTTTAGAAGTTCATCCCATAAAAGTAAGAAATAAGTATCATTTGGCATGATGATGTTTCTCGCAGCACACTCATATTTTATTTTATTTTGTAACCGTCGTTGAACAGCTGACCGAATTTTCAGTTTACGGCTACAAATGTTCAATTCCGCAGCCTTGTAATTTGAACTAATCCAGAAGACAAGAGAACTCCTAAATCAATTATTGGGGGAAAATTGTCTTCATGGAGGACTTTCTGACGGAACTAACCTGTGTGGCATTGAGAGGAAGACCACGCGATCCTCCTACAGTTAGCCTGACGGTAAAAGAGACCCAAAATTCATTTACCACTGAGGGCGTCAGCACTGTGATTGGTGCAAACCGGTTCACCGCATTGGAAGGCGAATCTATAGAATCTTTGTAAGAACTTGAGCCCAACGCCCATAGTCGTCAAAAGCCAATTAATTTGAATGTTCTAACGTCAATTTTTTGTTCTTTTTCAGGTGAGAGTGGGACGCAATTTGAGATTTGAAGTGGGCTACATGCGGTATGAGGTGACCAAGTCCTATGAGCTGCCCCCCGAGGCTGTGGGGGGCATAGCCGCGGGGGGCGCCGTCCTTGTACTTCTCAGCATAGTGATACTGGCTGTACTGCGACACAAAAACTCCCAAGCAGAGAGGGAGTACAAGAGGATACAACTGCAGATGGACACATTGGAGAACAGCGTCCGATCAGAATGCAAGCAAGGTAACACAAACTTTCCAATTAAAGATGTAGTTTTCAACGCCATCTTGAATTTATTGAGTCATTATTACCTGGGCCAGTGGTCGGAAAAACTACTTTTTTTTTAAATATAGCGAATGCAAAGTACTTTCGATATGTTATGTAGTACTACTTCGCTATTTTTAGAAGACAAAATTAACTGAAGAACTTAATTTTCACTAATATTCAAAATATTTTTGAATGAAATTTTTTGTTGGCTTGGTTAGGAGATATTTCGAAGTTTTAATTTACATGAAATTGTTTTTTATTCTAAAGCACATTTTACGAATTTGTTCTTCTAACTTTGAAACTCAATGACAGTGGTTTCAGAAATGCTAGGAATTGTGATTTAAGTGATCGATGCTTTTTTTTATATCCTCTAAGTACAGTGCGAAAAACTAGAAATGGATCACCTTTTGATCTAAGATCAGATCTTCATTCTTAATGGTATAAGGGGGCACATATGCTAATTAATGAGACAATATTTTAAGTTACGACACAAAAACGCACTTGATAATTCCTGCTAAATCAAAAAAGTCAGATGTTAAAAAATCAATTTCTCAGGAGCCGATTTCGCACAGGACTCATGCAATTCCACGAAGACTTTTGGTTCGCCAATCAGAAACTAACAATCCGACGAAATTTTCACGGAGATCCGCAATTTAACTTTTGAATCTCGTTAACGAGATGGCATATGATTTTTTTGCTAATTGGCGGAGATCTACCAATTCGATTCTTTTGGTTCTTTGGAACTGCGCCGGAATCCGCCAAATATCGCGATTCATATTCGATATCAAACAAAGATTTTCGTATGTACCTGATTTAAAAGTTCCACTTTTTAATTCGTATTCACGATTCGAAAATCGTACATCGCGATGCATACTCACGCGATTTAAATTCAAACAGCGCGATTTGTATTTCCTTGTTTTTAAAATCAGTATCGTAATTTGTATTCACTCGTTTTTAAAATCCAATGTCGCAATTTGTATTCACGCAAGTTTGAAATCGAATGCCGTGATTCGTATTCACGCGTTAATAAAATCTAATATTACGATTCGTGTTGACGCGATCTAAATATCATGCATTGTGATTTGTATTTCCGCGTTCTTGAAATTCAGTGTCGTGATTCATATTCACGCCATTTTAAAATCCAGTATCGATATTCTTAAAAAGCCAGGTAGAAATACTTTACTTTATGCGTTCTTTTTTTAAAAAAATTAGTTGAAAATGGTAATAATAAATAAAACAGCAATAAAGCGCAAACATTGTTAAAAAAACAATACAAATAAACAAATTTTTAATCCATTTGTTCTATTTCATGTTCTTTTAAATTTTCAGCTTTTGCTGAGTTGCAGACGGACATGACTGATTTGACGAATGACTTGGAAACTTGTGGCATTCCAACGTTAGACCACAAAACTTACGTCATGAAAGTGTTCTTTCCCGGAGTTTACGACCACCCTCTTCTGCAAGACACAGGAAAAGTACGTCTCTTTTGTTTGTCATCACTAAAGCCGTTAATCTGCCTATTTTATTTTAAAACCATTGTTGAACAGCCCTCCCAATTTAGGGACTACTAATGTTCAACTCTGTGGCCTTCTAATTTTGAACCCCATCCAGAAGATTCCTGGATCGGGAGAAATTTTGCCATCGTGGAGGTCTTTTTCAAGGAATCAACCCACATTTGTGTTTCATGGAGACCACTAAGACCTCCCACGGTTAGCCTGACTGCAAGGGGACTCTAACCGTTTTGCACTGAGGATATTCCACGTCAGCACTGTGGTCGGTGTGAGCCGGACGTATCGACCAGCCATCGCTGGGACGCTTATCACCTCATTGGAACGCTCTATCTCCTGATGAAGTGAATCGGGTTCGAATCCCAGCGATGGCTGTTCGATACGAATTCCGCATCCGGCTTGCACCGACCACAGTGCTGACGTAAAATATCCTCAGCGGTAGATGGATCATGGGTTAGAGTCCCCTTGCTGTCAGGCTAACCGTGGGAAGTTCTCGTTGTATTTCTCTCCATGTAACGCAAATACGGGTTAATTCCATCAAAAAATACTCCGCGAAAGCAAATTTCTCCCAATACTTGATCCAGGAGTTCCCTCGTCTTCTAGATTAGGTTCAAAATGACAAGACTAAGGAGTTGAACATTAGTAGTCGTAAGTCCAAAATCGGGTCGGGTGTTAAACGACGGTTATAACAAAACATTGAGCTCATAAAAATTTGGATACAATGATTTGTTAAAAAATTTAATGACTTTTGAAGCATTTAGAATATTTGTGCGTTCAGGTTACAGCAAATATGGTATTTATAAATAAAGGCACTCTTTGGCGAAAGGATTCCACAAACCCTGTTAATTTCTCAGTATATTTTTTTCCCCCACATAGGTTCGCCAGAATGGAATGTACAATGCTTGTGAGATGGCGATGAGTCAGTTCGAACAACTGGTGAACAACAAGTGCTTCCTTTTGGCATTTATTCGAACCTTAGAAGTACAGAAATCGTTCAGTTTTCGAGACCGGTAGGTTTATTCTACAACAACATGATTCTTGAATTGTGGTTTTTAAAACTTGTATAATAACGATTGTTAATGTTAACAGGGTGAATGTCGCTTCTCTTTTGATGGTTATATTGATGGAAAAAATGGAATACGCCACCGAGTAAGTTTCTTTTAAACTATGCCTGCCTTCACAAATTTATGGTGCATAATTACAATAATCCGAAAGTAATTTAATTATGTAAAAATAATTTTACCTTATTCAAATTTTACTCCACAAAATCTGAATTTTCTTATTTAAAATATAGTAATATAAGGAGCGATTTTTATTCATTCAGATCAAGTTGACTACATTATATTCCATCATTTCATTAATTACATTATATTCCATCTTTCGATCTCGGCTTCCTCAGTTTTTTTTTTTTAAATAAAAAGAAAGCAAATTTAATTTTTCAAGAGGAAATGCTTGGGGCAATATAAGCCACACGTTTTGAGGTGGGTTCAAGATGAACCCCGAATTTCATGTTCGTAATTAAATGTTTCTCTGTTGCATGTCCTTACCTTCGTCACCTTGTAAATTAAATATCAGTTAATTCTGGCTATCAAGAGAAAGTAGAGATAACTAGGGACAATTGTCTCACGGACTGCTTAGGGCCCGGTCAAAACTCTTTACCAAAATGTATGTGTGTAGTTTGTCTACGGTAAGAGCTTCCGCCACAAAGTCTGAGGCCGTCTGCTGCTATGGAAACAAGAATAGCGCATTTAAGGGAGAGTATCTTTTCTTAACTTTAGGGCTAACACAATAGACCGAAGAAAAATATTCCCTTTTTCTCACGGGCCAGACCGATCCAAAACCTGTCCTAAACAATGACCTTACACCCCTGCATGAAATAGATATACCTCGTTACCATAGTCACCGCCACGGGTCCAGATGAATGGCTTGGGGAGCTCTTACTTTAGACAAACTATAATGTCTTTTAAGGGACAAATGTTTCTTTTTACGTAATTGATCTAGAACAAACAGTTTAATTTCGCCGATTCCAATAAATCGACTCGTTGGAAGGTTCCTGATTTTACTTAGAGTAAACCCTTTAAAATGTTTTTTTTTAATGTAATTACCTTTTATACAATAATGCGTAGCGTTTTTAAAAAGTGCTTAAAGGTACTTATTTTCCGTTTTTTAAAAGCCCTTAAAGGGGCTTTTTTTATTAGGTGTTTTTAAAAAGTGCGTAATTTTCCCTCTCCGAAAATGAGAACTTTTTCTTTACCAAGTCGATTTTCGCCACGTGTTATGCAAAAGCGTCCTTTTCACATTGTTTTATTCAACGAAAAGTATTTTGCATTTTGTTAATGTATATAGTGCTTTAACAGGGTGCGTAGCGTTTTTAAAACGTGCTTAAAGGTGCTTATTTTCGTTTTTAAAAGCCCTTAAAGGTGCTTTTTTTCACAGGATGTGTTTAAAAAGTGCTTTATTCGAAAATGGGATTTTTTTTCTTTATGTCGATTTTCGCCACGTATTATGCAGAAGCGTGCTTTTCACATTCAACGTTTCCACAATTCATTCGACCACAATCGACTTACATTCGGTCCATAGCGTTTAAAAGCATTTTACATGTTTGTTGAAATACTTGCGAGTCCGGCGTCTACTGAGCTGGATTCGGTGAGATTATTGCACTCGCATGTGCAACCATTTTGCAAGATATTTTCTATTTTAGGGGTCATTTTCTACCCTCTGATATCGAACCGAAAAATTTCTCGATCATTTTTTAATGGCTAACACAATTAAAAAAAAGAGTTCTTTGTCAGAAACTAGTTATTTTATCAGGATCACATTAAGTCTTTGAAAATTATTTTGAATTTTGTTAATGTATATACTGCTTAAAAATATTTTTTGAGTGCTTAAAAAGTACTTACCCGGATAGCAAAATAAGGTTTATTTTCACTTAACAAAAACCTTTTAATGTAAACCGAAAAAGATCGTATAAACCGTCTAACCTTAAAACAAGATCTGTGACAATATGCTCTATTCTACGTACATTACCCTCATTCAAAACCTTGGAAAACAACCTTCTGTATAAAAACCTTAAATCGAAGTTGACCTAGGGTTTTCAAGCGTTAAAAATAATCTTTTCATAAAGCTAGACTAAAGGTGAAAATAATCTTAAATCTAGGTCATTGTAAGTTTTTTTTTTTCGAAAAGTCTTGCATGCTCGGCTAATATCCACCTTGTCTTGAAATTTTAATGGACAATGCGACGTCAATATGGACAATACTTTTTAAAAAATACTTTTTGAAAGGTTTTATTTAATTGAAAAAAAGGTTTTTAGTACAAACATTTTCGTGTCACTAAAAAGAACAAGGTTGCCGTTATGCATGCTTTCTGGGGCGCTTATTTTTTGTTGAAAGATTTCGGCTACGCAACCTGTTTATAATTTACACGTCATAAGAAAAACACATCAAATGAAAACTTAATTATTTTCCTATTGAGGACTGTTTCTTATTCAGTAAAACTCCATCATTTATTTATTTTTCAAAAATGAACTTTTATCTTTAGCGTGCTACGAGCCTTGCTGCTACAGTTGATAGAAAAATCAGTGAATACCAAACATCCACAACTCATGTTACGAAGGTAAGCGTTGTTTTTTTCCCCTTCTTTCTCTTAATTAGCGAAGAACCTTTAAGTTACTTTTAATTGGCTCCTCGTTATACTTTCGCCCGACTTCAAACATAATTAGTGTTACTGACATTCTTTTTTTTTCTTTCTTCTTTTTTTTCCAGAACCGAATCTGTGGTTGAAAAGATGCTTACAAATTGGATGGCACTAAGCATGTATGACTACCTTAAGGTAAGACACTCGTTAACTATTTCCAGGGGGGTTGGAATGGGGTCTTCTCTACCCGGAATGTTCGAAAAAAGAAAGAACTTTATATATACGTCATTAGCGTATAACATCGCCAACCGTTGGAAGATCGACCCTAATTTTATCTCTCTCTGGCGCTATATCGCGTGCATTTCATTAAAATTTCTTCGGGAATTTAAATTTTCTTTTTTTCTTCTTTCTTTTTTGCTCACAGAAGATATGCCGATTTGAAAGCGAAAATGATTCCTGTGCTTTCGGTTGAAATCGAAATTGTAGTTCGGTAATTGAAACTTTTTCTTTTTAAAAAAAGAACAGGAGGGGAATATTTTTTTTATAGAGTCCGATGTATGGTACCAAAGTTGCGTTCTTGTTGCGATCTAATGATCCAGTCAAACCAATGTGATAGAATTTTGATACAAATGATAACTGTAACTGTGTCTGCTCAGTTCTTGAACTGTTGTTACCAACTGTTAGAATGTAATGAAGCAAATGGTGTGCTCATTTTAGACAATACATTTTATTCTTTACTAGCTAGACTTTATAGGGTCTAATAAATAAAAAGGTCTCGTATAATAGTTATTTTTGTTTGTTATTTTATTTATTTAAAAAGTAATAAAAACTTTCAAAGTCAATTCATGCTTAGGTCAACAAAGAAAGAATTTATTTTTGTTACTTTTATTTTGTTAAAAAAGAATTTATTTTGTTTATTATTTTAGTTACTTTTTATTAAATAATTAAAAAATTTTCTCCTCAGTATAAAACTAAAATTAATTCAAAAAAAAAAAGAAGAAGAAAAATGGTTTTAACACCAAGTGTCATCCACTACCAGTTTAAAAAAAGAAATGTATTTAAACTTGAGTGGACGAATAAAAAGTATTTTATTAGATTAAAAATTTAAACAAGATATAGGGAGAGTGTCAACTCATAGTAGGAATAGAGTAAATACGGTTAGAACTTCAATATAGCGGCATTTGAATTATTGTCCTTATATAGTAGAATTGATAAAACGAGGGCATTCAACGTCTTAACTTACATTCGATCCGTAGCGTTTAAAAGCGCCAATCATTTTACATGTTTGATCCGCATGTACATCTACTGAGCTGGGTTCGGTGAGATTATTGCACTCGGCATGGGCTACTCAGCTGCATTTTGCAAGATATTCTCAAATTCAGGTTTCATTTTCCACCCTCTGAAATCGAACTCTCTCTATGGCGGCTAATATAGTCAAGAAAAAGAGTTCTTTGTCAAAAACTAGTTATCTAATCATAATCATGTGATGAAGTCTTTGAAAAGTATTTTGTTAATGCATATAGTGTTTTTACAGGGTGCGTAGCGTTTTTAAAACGTGCTTAAAGGTGCTTATTTTCGTTTTTCTTTTTCAAATCCCTTAAAGGTGCTCTTTTCATAGGGTGTTTTTAAAAAGTGCTTTATTTTCTCTTTTCGAAAATGGGATTTTTTTTCTTGACCATGTCGATTTTCGCCACGTATTATACAAAAGCGTGATTCAAAGTTTTCACAATTCATTTAAACGCAATGCATTTTGTCAATCGGTAGCGTTTGAAGGCGCAAATCATTTTACAGGTTTGATGAAATACTTGTTTCTACTGAGCTGGTTTCAGTGGATAGGATTCTTGCACTCTCATGTTCAACTCTGCTGTATTTTGCAAGATACTCTCAATTCCAGGCTTCATTTTCCACCCTCTGAAATCGAACCGAAAAATCTCCCGATCTATTTAGGGTGGCTAATTTATTCAAGAAAAGAGTTCTTTCTCAGATACTAGTTTTTTTTATCATGATCATGTTAAGTCCTTGAAAACTATTTTGCATTTTGTTAATGTATAAAGTGATTTCAGATATTTTTAGTGCTTGAAAAGTACTTGACAAGTGCTTATTTTTTGTTGAAAAATTTGGCTACTCACCCTGTTTAAAATATTTTTTAAGTGCTTAAACAGTAGTTAAAAGGTGTTGATCAAAAGTTTGTTTAAAATAAAAAAATATGGAGGACTGAAAAATGTGTGTCTGTGTTAATAGAATGAAGCAGGCAGTTCCCTGTTCCTTCTATTCAGTGCCATCAAACATCAGGTGGAGAAAGGACCCGTGGATGCCATCACACACGATGCACGATATTCACTCTCTGAAGAACGTCTCCTCAGGGAACAGATAGACTACTGCACTGTGGTAAGTTTTATTCTCTTTTACACACTATAATATAATCTATTCAGCGTGAACTGACAGGCTGAATGACGAGCGTAATTTGACCAATAGTAGGTAAGCAGCCGACTCATCAGTGTTGTGAATGACCTTCCTGTCAATTCTTGCTAAAAGGTGCCAGGTTTTCCTTGACCCTCACTATATCCTTATGGAATCCTTATGACATAGATGCCAACTCTACTGGATTTTTCCAGTTTATCCAAGTCTATTGGTTTAATTAAAATTCTCCTGGTTCTTCTATATTTCAGAAAATTCCCTAAAATTGAGTTAGTTTTTTAAAATAAAAATCCCGATTGAAATAGAATTTTTGTACAGATTATCGCTTGCTTGTTTGAATATTTAGATAAATATTGCTAATACATACTCATTTATAGAATATTTTGGATGATTGTAATGGATGATTTTATTTACTCCTTTCGTTGCTGCCGTCCGCTCCGCTGAAGTGACACTACTGTAGGGTACTCCACACCTCGAAGTGTGCACGTTGTGTGCTAAGATTGTTATTGTCTGCATCATTGATGATTTTATTTACTCTTTTCGTTGCTACCGTCCGCTCCGCTGAAGTGACGCTACTGTAGGGTACTCCACTCCTCGAAGTGTGCACATTGTGTGCTAAGATTGTTATTGTCTGCATCATGGAGGATTTTATTTACTCCTTTCGTTGCTGCAGTCCGCTCCGCTGAAGTGACGCTACTAAAGGATACTCCTCTCCGCGAAGTGTGTACAGTCCGCAAAAAAAAACAAACGAATCACCCTGAATAACTTTCGTGCTAATGATCGGATTTTCACGAACTAAGTGTCTATCTTAATGGTTCCAGGGGGTGACCTCAAATATGCTGATTAATTAGTGCTAACTATTAATTAAGTTACGAAATCAGACACAAAAACGTACTTTCTCTGAACAAACATATATATTTTTTTTTACATATTTGGATTCTTATTTACATATTATATTTGGATTCTTAACCTTCAAAATATAGGGGGTAGCCGCAATCTGGGAAATATACCCCATAGTTTGGTCAGGAGAGCGACTCAAAGTTCGTACACCTTAATGTTAATTTAACTTTTTACGTTTTTAGTCATATTTTTAAAACTAATAAAGCAATTCAAAAAAAATTGCACCCACTCATAAAACTCATTTATCCAAAGATAATTTCATGAAAAAAATAATTTTTAATAATTATTAATTATTTTTTATTTAATTAAATTGAGGATGGAAAAATTTTGAATTATAAGGTATGAATTTTTTTATACCATATTAATCTACATATTTTTCAATTGAAAAATCTAAAGTTTCAACTGTTTTTATTTATTGAAAGCTGAGAAAAATTAAAATTAATTATTTTTAAAAAAATAATTTGGCGACAGTAATGAAATAATTAAATGGGGCGATTAATATTAAAATGTGATAAACCTGCGGGGGGGAACTTGACTTCCCGCGCATATTCATATTAAAATTTCATTCATATTTTTTTCGCTAATAATCGTTTGCTAATCTTTTTATTTTTTATTTCTTTCTAACTATAAAATACGACGTTTCTTTTTTAGTCCTTTAATAATTAATTTGAAATTTAGTAAAGAAATTTGAATAAAACGTTCTGAATAAAAAACACTTAATGGAACGGATGTCTAGTTTTATAAAAGCGTGCTTCTGATAGAATATGATTATACACCAGATTATGCTTATTTAAAGTGATTATTTTTTGATTTTGTTTTTCAATAACTGATACAATTTCAATAATATACATACGTATCCTATATTTGGAATAACTTATATATCGCCTTAATCTTAAAATAAATTTGTAAATTATATGTCTGCGCTTGTTTCGCAGAGTTATTTTTCTAACTTTTTAATTAAATTTTAACGCAAAATCTTATTTTTTATGCAACCATATATATTATTTTCCAATAATATACTAATCAATCGTTTTAGTACTCTAATTTATGTTTTCCTTTAAAATAAAATTACTTTTTAAATTATTGCTAAGTTCTTTTTGAAAGAAAACTTAAAATTATTGCCAGCTATCTGAGAATTAAATCTTGTTAAGGAATTAAAAATATTCTACTGATTACACACAATATCATTCGATGCAGAACAGCTGACTGTTTACTAAGAGTACTATTGTTTACGAAAAATGAAGAAAAATTATTAATTTTTTTATTTTTATTGTTTCTTATTTATTTGAGTAAAGAAAAGTAAATGCGAAAAAATACAACATATTGTTTTGTTTTTTAAATGAACAAAAAACTATGAACATACAATTTTCTTTCGACATTAAAAGTTATTCTTGTGCGCTAACTTTAAGAAAGTTACCCTTTTGTTTTAAAAAAGTTGAAAATATTTGCTTAAAAAGGTGTGTCTATGACTTCTCAACTTTTGCACTGTTCAAAAAAATATTACTATATCAGGAAAATGTTCGATATGCCTTGTTTTCTTAAACAACACAACTACTAAAATAAATTTTTTTTAAAGAGATTCGAAAAACGTGTTATTTTTAGAATCATCTCAAAAATTGTTCTTTTCCTCTATTTGACTTTTTTCTACTTAATTAACTTATAATAATAGTTTTAACGCACGTTTTGAAGAAATTCTGCATACAAATTTCTCCTAATATTTCGTAATAAGAAAACAAGAATATTATTGATTCATTTATAATTGTTTCATTGATCCGGAGTAGTTAATTGTTTTCGAAATAATCGGCCTTACAACTATTTAACTTAGATTCTTTGGACTAGGGGTCACTTCATACATGTTTTTCGACATTGAAATTTCAAATATAAAATGTAAAAATTACAAGAATGCGTAAGCTTGTTTTAACTAACAAAAAAAACGACAAAATGATTGGCTTCTTATGAAAAGATTGTCAGAGTTAAAAAAGTATTGTAAAAACTGTAACAATTGTTACTCTTGTTTAATTAAGGGTATTATAAACCTAATTTTCTTTTAATTTTTTTAAATTATATTTTTTAAAGAACTAACGAAAGGAGTGTGTAAATAACATCAACTCTTTTTTCTGCAAACTAAGTTTACTTAATATCATTTGCAAATCTTATGAAGTGCAAATTCTTGACCTGCTCCTTAAAATAAAGTTTTATTTTGATCGTAGTTGAAGGAGTACGGATACGTAGTTAAAGGAGGTATGTGACATTCCTAAATAAAAGTCGTGTGATAGAGACAGAACGAATTAGTTCTTTTGGTTGAAATGCTGTCAATATCATTACAGCACCTTGGTTAACAAGGGTCATGAAAGAAGGTTCTGAACTTAAATATGCATTTTAATATATTTTCCTATTTACATACCTCCTTGATCTCTGCACCGTTTTAATATTCTACAAAGCATAAAATGAAATAATGTTGAATAAGAAAAGAGATTTCGAATGAAATATTTTATTTTCCTTAATACTGGGTAGGGTATCTGCTACATTTTAGATTTTCAAATTCATGTCTAATTCCAAGAACTTTTCATGACTTAACGAAGTTACTATTTTCTCCGACAAAAACAGAATAATATTTTAAAAAGCATTATAATAACATTTCTTTATATAAAAATTTCTTTGTTAATTTATATAATTTTTTCACGCGCAAATCAATTTCGGGCAAATCCGTGGCTAAAATTATGTGCAAAACAGGCAATTCATGTTTCTTTCTCTTTTCTATTTTATATTTTTTTTCTTAATTAAATATTAATTTTCTAAAATTATTAATTATCTACTTCTTTAAATTATCCAGTGTAATATTACCTTGCGCACATCCATTTTCGGGCTCATCTTTGGTTACTAACACATCAAACGCACTTCAGTACTGCAGAGGACGAACGCACTTTAATACAAAACCCCTCTATTTACGCTTTTACCTCAATTTTCGCTTTTGGTTTCATATTTTGTAATCTGGCAATCTTGCTTCGACAATATTTTAAATCATACTTGAAAAATTTCCCGTTCATGTAAGTTCATTTGAATTCGCTACTCGCTTTATAGATTATGTTTTATTCTGATTTTTCTTTATATTTAATTTTCTGTTTTTACGTGATATTTTTACTTATTGTGTTCCATTTTATTTGTTGTAACTTTTTTTAGTGCTTTCACACTATTGTAATATTTTGCTCTGGCTATATTGATACAATATTAGAAAGCACTCTTTTTTGCGGATATAATCGTGTGAGCTGATGAAAAGATTATATCTTTTATTTCCCAGATATTTTCAGAAATTTTTTTCCGGTTTCATGTTATTTTATTTTTATCATTATTTTTCTTTTTTTTTCGGATTTTTTTTATTGTTCTGTAATTTTTCCCATGTTTTCTCTACATTTTGATTTTATTTTATGAGTTCTACTTACTTGCAGCTTATGCGCAATAAATAAAACTGTTTTTCTTAATTTTCTTCGTTTTATTTTGTATTTATTTAATATAGATATATATATATATATCAAAATACTTTTAAAATGCCGTATAACATTTACTAAGTTTTACAATTTTATCGAAAATAAATACCGTGAATTTTATAAAATCTTGTGATTATGCATCAGAATAGCTATCTTTTTTCAGGTCCACCTTTGCTTTATCATTCTTTTTCCTTTCCTAAGAAACTCGAAGTGAGTTGCAAAAGCAATTAACCCTACAACTCTTCATAAATTTAATAAGAACNAGGGCAGAAAACAAGAAAGATGGATGTAAACGAATTAAGTTATGTCTTCGGCAGACGATTCTTCCATTATTCGTCCGAAATGAATATTCTGCGTTCAGCAGTATAGACTTACTAAATATTTGTATGTTGCATCTCTAATTTAGAAGCAGCAATTGCTGTTTATTTTTGAAAATTTAATTTTTTTTATTATAATTTTACAGTGTCGGGCATAATCTTGTATCTATTTACAATTTAAAAACTCCTTGAAAAAGTTTTTTGCTATAACCGGACCCTATTTGCACAAATTCATAAAAGCGGATCCTGGTTAAAAGAATGTGAATAATTTTTTCACAATTTCACGAAAAACGGACCTTTCACAAAATGTCTGGACAAAATGCTTTTAAAATGCCGTATAACATTTATTAAGTTTTACAATTTTATCGAAAATAAATACCGTGAATTTTATAAAATCTTGTGATTATGCATCAGAATAGCTATCTTTTTTCAGGTCCACCTTTGCTTGATCATTTTTTTTTCTCGTTTCTTAAGAAACTCGAAGTGAGGTGCAAAAGCAATTAATCCTACAACTCTTCATAAATTTAATAATAACTCATGAAAATTTGGTTTTAATTCAAAATTGTCATACAAATGACGTTAAAACAGCTTTAAAATAATAAATAATGTCAGATAGAAAGTTCAACGTCAAGATTCTAAAATCTTGGAGAATCAAAAATAATTTATTAATTGATTTAAATTTCCTTTTCAAAGGAGATTAAAAAAAGCAATAACAATCTGTTTTCTTTAACCAGAAAGCAACTCGAAACATTTTTTTGGTTGCTTAGCAACGAGAAGCACTATGTTTTCCCGTCTTGTCATTCATTCAGTTTCTTCATGGTATTTCCCCTTCTATGGCGAGGTAATTTGGCATATTTTTAAACTTTCGCCATACATATATAAATATTTATTGCGATCCAATTTACGACCCAATTTTTTCGAAATTTTGTCTATTTTAAGTGTCAGGATTCCAAATATGTAAAAAAAAAATGTATGTTTATTCTGAGAAAGTACGTTTTTGTGTCTGATTTCGTAACTTAACTAATAGTTAGCACTAATTAATTAGCATATTTGAGGTCACCCCCCCGAACCATTAAGATTGACACTTAGTTCGTGAAAATCCGATCATTAGAACGAAAGTTATTCAGGGTGATTCGTTTTTTTTGTTTTTTTTGTTTTTTGTTTTTGCAGACTGTACATTGCGTGCTAAGATTGCTATTATCTGCATCATAGAGGATTTTATTTACTCCTTTCGTTGCTGCATATAGCAGAAGAAACTTGTTTCGGCTTACTTAAGCGCTTTTAAAATATACTTTCAGTGATTCAATGCAGATTAATGGAATATTGGTTTATATGCTAAAGTGACCGTTTGAAGTAAATTGAGGCGATTAACAAACCTGCTAAATACAGCGGTCATAACGAAAGATTTAAGGGTATTTTCGAAGCTGTTTTGCCCAGGAAAAGAGTGCTACTTCTAGGAAAGAATACGCTTTGCTTTCGAAGCAAAACAGCGATTCATTCCTGTAAAAATTATCTGACCATTAAAAAAGACACTATTAGCTGAAGGGTTTTTAAAAATCGTTAATTTGACGAAATATTTGACCTACTCGATGAAAATTATTCAAATAATTCTTAATTTTTTTCTTAGATTTAAGAGATGCAGGGTTGGAGTATTTTTTTTATTATTAGAGCACAGACGTTTCTTATTTGCCGAAAACTTATTTTTCATTACATCAGTGCACCGTTTTCACACTCAGCAGTCACTGTTTTAGAGGCAGTTTTTTAAAAAAATATGTATGATTCGCTATTTCATGTGACGTTAAAGAGAGCCAAGAAAAATAATCGACTCAAAGGATATACCATCTTGCCGTCAAGAATGATCTGAACATTAGAACGAACCTAAACTTTTTTAAAGTCGCCAATTTGGCAAGATTTTTTTTTTTTTGATTTTTTTAATCTAGATGAAAATTATCAAAATCAATAAATAAATCTCAATCTTCACTCATTTTAGTGAGTCCAGATAATGCAGCATTGGAATAAATTTGACCCAGTAAAAAATTAAAACGAAAACTCACAAAATCGTAGCTTTTTTCAGTACTGATATTTCGCATAGAGGGCGCTGGTTCTTGACTTGACAGACATGAATGTAATCGCATATTATTCGGGGGGAAAATTTTCTTTTATGGGACAACAGAGCCTTTGAAAATATATTTAAAAAAAAAAGATACCTCAAGTTAACTTAGCTTTTACAAAGAATCTCGTTGAAGCGTACTCATAAGTCATTAAGCATCATTTCGTCGAATTAGAAAGGTTATTTGTGCAACGATTGCTCGATCATTCCATTAGAAAGCTTTTGTTCACACAACTTCCAAAATATCACCTGCCAAACAACTTCCCATGTAAAGTATTAATTAGTTCCCTTTTTGGCGAGAAACCGCCTTCTTCTCTCGCCGATCTTATCGCCACATCCTGGTGCTGGAAAAATAGGCGGATCACTGAATTCAATTAAAGGGCAATGAAGCAGTCACGGACGACGCTTTTCGAAACGAGATGGGCGTGGTTTCATGGGTTCACGTCCATCGCATCTTGCAAGTGGGCGTTCCCTTACCCCCATATTCCCCAGATGTTTCTTGAGCCTAAATATTACTGTCACTACCAGCTAGATTTTAGTGTTAGACACAATTGTTTCTAATAAACAAAAGAGAGAGGGTGTTCTCAAACATTGAAGGGCACAAAATGAGTGTTCTTTTACTGTTCTTAACCTGTCATTTGGTCCCACTTAAAATCGTTCGGTTAATCTCGTGTGAAAATGCGTGATTTAGTGCGTGTATTTCTCCTACCGTTAAATTTCTGTGGTCATTTTTTTTCCTGCTAGAGTTCCATCACTGATTTCTGTGAACTTCAAACGATATTTGCGGAACATTATAGCCACAGAAGTGCCAACTATTTCGATTTATCCGCAATTATTGCGATCTTAGTCAAGATGAGGCGTGGAATCTTAATCGTAGTCAAGATTACGGTCTTTAGGTTGAGTAGTAAAATTTGTGGTTTTAGAGAATTTCTGTAATAATTTGTTTGATAATAAAAGTTCGTTTTTCTTTACTTAATTGTCTAGTGTTTTGAAACGTGTGTCGTTTGGAACTGATCTACGATAATGAATAGTTCTAAATTAACCATAAACATTGATTCGATTACATAATGAAGCACAAAATTTCGGTGTTGTATATATATATATATATATATGTATTTTTTATAATTTGGCGCTTTTGATGATTGAGTATTTTTTTTAATTGATTGTAAATTTATGCTTAATTTTATTAATATTATAGAATTGTATTAATTTATAGAATTATCTATGACCGAAATCAAGAAAATGTCGACTTGAATGTCCGAAATATTTGTTATATCCGATTAATTTATTCGTTGATATTACTATATTTATTCGATATTTAAATATCTGCTGAGGATAGATTAGGAGAAAGTGTTCGGAGGATACATACTGGGCACTTCACCTTAAAAAACATGGATGTAGGGCATACCGGGCACTTAACTAGACTTGGAATATGTTTCGGACATTCACCGAAGCATCGGTGGAAGTCCACCCATTTCTATCGCATCCTGAAATTGCGCTAATTTGAATTTTGTTTAACTGTACTTTTCTATTCTATAGTATTTTTGATAGCTAGTTTGAAAAGTTGTTGTCCAATTCGTAACCCCAATATAGTATTATATATTTCACAATAAGAAAATAAAAAACAGAAAGTATCGCTATAAACATACAGATTTTGCATTTTTAAGATCTCTCCGTACTCGTTATATAGAGCAGTATATAAAAGAATAATTTGGAGAGGAAGGAAAACAGCGCAATTTCAGATTAATAATGTCGTTGAAATTTCCGATAATCAGCATTTTTGAAATAATCAGAATTGATAGGACGCTTGAATGGAAAACGAGTCAAAAGTTGAAGGATGCTTAAGAAGAACTTTCATTGAGAGATTGTTGTTTTGTGTTTCAGACGGTGCAGGTAGTCCACGAGGATCAGGATGAAAAGATTGTTTGTCGAGTGAATGATTGTGATGTTCCTAGTCAAGTGAAAGCCAAATTACTCGATTCAGTCTACAAAAACACGCCATTTTCTCTACGACCTTCCATACACGATGTTGATCTAGGTAAACCATCCTCTCTTCGATTTATATATAATACACTGGTGTAAGAGATCTTGAAATTCGATACACTACAAAACATTCGCGTGATGGTGCGTTGGAAGGTATGAAACAGCGGTTTCAAAATGAGAAAAGAAAGTTCCTGAATCGTTTCATACCTTCGTAACGTTATTGCAATTGTTGTATGGTTTGTAGTGCATGTCATTAAAATCGGAGATTCTTACACCGGTGTATTGTAGAGATGCTTTTTTTCATTTTTCTTTCTTTCGCCTTTTACAGAATGGCGACATGGACGGGGTGGCCATCTCACCTTGGCAGACGAGGACGTGACCACTAAGACGGTGAATGGTTGGAGAAGGCTGAACACACTCAGGCATTACGGAGTGAGGGACTCTGCCGTTATGAGTCTCGTCAACAAACAGAACGACAGCTTCAGCTCTAACTGTGAGTGTTTCAAATTTAGAAAATGCTTCCTTAATTGTAAAGCATTCAATAAATACAAACAGAATAAATTCCTTCCCTAGAGGAGATTTCCCAGGACCCTGTCAAATGAAATCGAATAGGAAAGATTTTCGATTATAACGTGCACAAGTACATGGATTTTTTTTTCTTCTAAACACGCGTTTTTAATGAATTGTATAAATAAGAATAAATTCTATGTAAAGAAAAAAATGAAATTTTAATCCGAGTTTAAATAGCGATGATTTCTTGCTGAATCTCTGAGTAAATTTAAACTTTATCTCCATAATCAATCCCTTCGAATATCGATCCTTATCTAAAGTACCCAATATCAGCATCACTTTGCCAGTTACATATTTATCCCAACAGTCTATTTATCCCCTTTTTAACACTTAAAATTGCAATAACTTAGAACAAATTTACTTTAAAAAAAACTTAACGTTAAATTGTCTTTTAGCGTGTCAAATTTCAATTCTTTAGTCACATTTTTTTTCCGACCTACCAAAGTGACCCCATGATATATTTCATTACTAGTTTAACAGTTAATAATTCTCAAACTAATCATCGTCTGTCAATAATATTTTTTATTTATTTCATCGAACTCCTTGCAAATTTCGATACACACCCTTGTCATTTCAACTCTTTTTTGCGCAACGAAACAAAATGTAACGTTAAAGCGAACACTAAAAACGGCAGGCAAGCGGTGCTTACGATTTTTTAATGTCTAGTTATATGTTAAATTATTTTTTCGTATTATTTTTAAATTAATGAATGCGACAACACATATTTTATTCATAGCTTTATTTACAAAAATTACTCAATAGTTGAAAAGAACTCGTCATGACTCATCAGTTCGATATCATTGAAAAGCATTATTTTAAAAAAGGAATATTTTATGTCGTGTTTCAAGCTGGCCGAGTGGTTAGCGTGCCTGACTGCGAGGCCAATGGCTGCGGGTTCGAATCCCGCTCTAGGCATGGATGTTTCTCTCTCTCTCTCTCTCTGTTGTGTGGCAGTGTGCCGTGGGTAATGTTGCTCGCCTCCGTGACTTTGGTTCACAGATGCCCACCGGCTAACGTTAAATGAGCAACACTTCCGGCATCTTCTAACGCGAAGAATGAAAGTTCAGTGCCTGCCGTTATTAAAAAAAGAAAAATCGTGTTTCAAAGAGACTTTAAATGGAGTGAGAGTTTTCCCTTGGCAATTTATTTTGAGTTGTTTTTCAGTTGATTTCATGACGTCATACAAAGTACTATTGAAACTTTAAAACTCTCGAGCTCAGTGTATGGATAAAACGTTGTACAGTAATACTTTTTGTGTACGTGTTATTCTATAGGTACGGGACATGCCTCTTTAAATTCTGTGTCTCCGATTGTTGGACAGTACGACTTGGAACAGGGCCTAAGACTGTGGCACTTGGTCAAGTATCAAGATGACCAGGCAAATATCAAAGACTATCAGCACAAATCCATTCCAGAAATATTTCTAACTAGACTGCTTTCCACAAAGGTATGTTTTCTGTATTTCATTTTCATTTGTAGTGAACTGTAAAAATTTTTTAAATAATTTTTTTTTTTTTTTTTTTTTTTTTTTTTTTTTTTTTTTTTTTTTTTTTTTNTTTTTTTTTTTTTTTTTTTTTAAGATTAGCTTAAAAGGAAGAAAGTAATTTTGCATTTGCTAGACCTAAAACGTTGAGTGCGTCTGTTTCGAAAGACATATAAATGCCGTTCAAAAAACAGCCCTCGTATAGTGTTGGCCTTATTTTCTCTCACAATTTCAGACTCAAAAATATGAAAACTAAAAACCCTCTCCCATACTGTCGCTTGTTTTTCGCTTTAATTACGACTCTAACTCTATTAATCTATATTTAGGATTATATACAATGTAAATTTGGTTGCTGGTGGCGGTTCAGTGACCTTGGGAAATACCATTTTATGCGCATAGTCTGGCTATTCATGCTCATTTTTAAAATTCAAACTAATTTTTATTGGAAGCCGAATCTATGCTTCAGTTATAAAAGATCGATGTCGAGAGTTGCAACAAACCGTGAGACGGGAGAAGCCTCTTCATCAGACATGGGACTCGGATGTGTTTTTTAATATCCGTCGTTGAACAGCCGACCTCATTTTTTGGGTTTACGACTACTAATGTTCAACTCCTTGTAATTTTAAACCCAATCCATAAGACTCCTTTATCAGTACCGGTATGATTTGTTATAGGGACATGGAGGGCTAGACAGATTCAGCATTCACTACACAAAGAGTCTTCGGCCGGCTGGGATCGACCTCTTGGACATGGGTCCAGTACCCTACCAACCAGGCTATCCCAGCCCCCCATTTAATAATTTGTAAATATGCTCACATATCACGGTTGTCGAATAAATTTATATTTCTGGAGGTGCATGTTTTCTTTACCTCGAGTGTTCTCCCGCTACACTAAAATCTATCTATTTGTCTGGGGATAATGTTGGAATATCCATCAATTTTCGCTCTCTATTGCAAGCAAATTTTCTATAAATTCTTTCAAGTCCAGATGTATCACTTTTTATCGACTAACTAGCCGTATTGGTTACTAAGTCATGATTAAATACTAGGCAACGCAATTTTTCAGCATTTATTATAGGGCAATTAGTATAAATGTATGAATGCACTGGTTCAAATGCGAGTGGACAGCCAGGTCATAATAAAGAAGGATAGTTCGTATTCTAACCTGCAAGCTTTTCCTCATATCAAAACCGGTTATTAAGATATCCAGCCGTCAGTGCAAGTTTATTACCACTGTTCTACCTAGCTTTGCATAGCCTTCCAATAAACTAATCGTACCCCTTTAACCGAAATAAAGATCGCAGATTATTAAAAAAAAATTCAGGTCATACTTCAAATAAGTTTTTCAAAACATTTTTTTTAATTATTTATTACCTATTTTTTTAATAACTAAATTATTAATAAGAATAATGCTCTTAGCTGTATAGTTTAAAAAGTTACCTTTAGTCTAATTTTTTTAATAGTTACCCTACTGTCTATTACTTGAATTCGATTTGAGGTTATTTATAACTCAATCTATACAAAGTATATTTTCTATTAATGCAAATAAAACATAATGTATGTTCTGATATTCCACGTATACGGAAAACTGGATCAAGAAGGGCAATTCGAACATCCTGAATCAGGGAGGGGTACAAAGAAATAATTTTACACATTCCATAAGACAATTTCGTTCAACAACAGGCTAACACCCCTAACAGCTAATCGACGCTGTGGCGCAGGGGCGTCCCCCAATGAGGTGACCCAAGTTCGATTACCAGCTGTGACTGGTTGATATGAATTCTGATCCCGGTTCACACCGACCACAGTGCTGAAGTGAAATATCCTAAGAAAAGATCATGCGCGAGTCGTGGTGGGACAGAGCCTGCCAATGAGGTGAACAGGGTTCGAATCCCATCGATAGCTTGGATTTGAGAGTTTTAGGGGCAGAAACCGATGGTCATAATTTAACACACCCCAAAAATCTCTGAAGGTCCTTTACTGTTTTTGGTTCAGGAATATTTATGATAGCTGATACTTTGTCTGGTAGAGGAAGCACCCCTTGCGTGGATATAAGAATATCCCAAAAGAGCAATTTCTTCTTTTTCCGGAACACACTTAGAAGGACTGATAATGTAACCTCAAAGTCTTTGAAATAATTTCGTTAAAGGGTTAAGATGTTCTTCAATATTACTTGAAGCTACCAAAGTACAGTCTAAATACAGAATGGAAAATTCCCACAAACTTCGTGAATAAATAGTTGAAACATTTGAGCCGCATTGCAAAGGCTCGAAGGGAGTTGTTATAGCAGTCTTCCATAGGAATTTGGTGATACGCCCGAACTAAATCAATTGTTGAAAATATCTTCATGTCATCGAAAACGTGCACTATGTGATGTATGTGCGGAATAGGATATCGGTCTAGTTTTGTTACGGAATTTAGACGGCGATAATTAACTCATGGCCTCCAATTAGCCTTCCTCACCATATGCAATGGGCTCGCCCAACGACTCTTTGAAGGGGGACAAATTCCTTGGGATAACCTGATTGGTAGGGCATTAGACCCATGTCCAAGAGGTCATGGGTTCGATCTCCTCCCTCCGAAGACTCCACGTGTAGTAAATGATGATTGATGCACGTTAAATGGGTCGAATTCCCATAGCAAATCATAGTCCTTCAGTTGGATTATCCAGTCAAAATGGTTTTATTAGGTTATCTTTATGGCAACTCCAGCAATATTTCTGTTCGTACTCTTGATTATCCGTGTTCAAATCACGTCCGGTTAATTACCAACGTTTGGATAAAGAAGGAAACTTCAAGGTACAACGTTTTCTCCAGCTGCTTCTATATATCGAATCTCTGCAAATGCCTCTATATATAACCTCTCCATCGCTTCATGGACCCATCACTGACGGGTCCAACATTCGGCACCTATGTAGGTATGATAGCTTTTCACAGCACCTATAACGGACAATAGCATTTAATATCAAATTAAGTTAATATTATATGTTTGCATTCATGTTGCCCAAGTTCACGAGAAAAATTTTTTTCCATGAGGTCCGCAAGAAGCTCCACAGTTTCATATAGTTTATTAATTGATTATTTACCTTCTTTTTACCCCGCACGAAGCGAGAAGTAATCAAACATAATATCGTAAGTTTAAGTAACTTTTTTTAAATTTCTCTTTACTTGTTTTGCAGGGTACTGTACAGAAGTTTGTGGATGACTTCTTGACCACCATTCTGACAGCGAACGAGTGTCTACCCCCAGCGGTCAAGTGGCTATTTGATCTCTTGGACGAAGCATCTGCGAATCATGCCATCCTCGATCCAGAAGTGGCACATGCCTGGAAAAGTAACAGGTACCCATTACTGTTTTGTCATCTTTTATTTCAATACAAGTAACTTGCGCCGAGGCGACTCAGGAATTAGAACCTGCCAATGACGGTTCGAATCCCAGGGATGGCCAGCTCGCAACGATCACACTGTTGACTGAAAATATCCTTAGTGGTAGATGGTAAAATTCTGTATTATCGTAGGAGATTTTCGTGATTTTCCTTTCCATGTAATGCAAAGTTCCATAAGAGAAGAACGAAGGCTAGTCTGTCCCAAAGTTAGTCTAGGAGCTCTTCAGGGTAAGGTTCGAAATGACAAGGAATTGAAATTGTCTTATGAGTCGGCTGTTCAATGCCGGTAGTAAAATGAGATAGCCTCTTTGGTGGAATTCAGTTAAATCATCTTCATCATCATCAATGGCTCAACAGCCTAGGGTGGGTCATGGCCTTCTCAAGAACTTTTTTCCTGGCTAACATTTTTCCTGCTAGTGTTTTCCAGTTTTTAGTTTTTAAGACAAATGGTCTTTTTCTAGGCCATCTATCCGTCTCAAATTCGGCCTGCCTCTTTTTCGTGCGCCAACTGGTCTGGCATTGAAAACTCTTTTTGTGATATGGTCTTCGTCCATTCAAATAACGTGGCCTGTCTATTTTATTTTATTCAGTTCGTGATATTGGCTAAATCTTCTTATCAAAGTAAACTTTTTTGTTTCGAATTTAATAGTATTCGATTTTATTTCCTATGGTGCCATTCAATTCTGCACTCATGACATTATTTAAAATATTTTAAGTTATATCAGGTTATATTTTTGCTTTATTGAAATAAATTCGTTTAGCCAATTGCACGAAATTATTTTGAATTTAAAAACATTTGGGGAAGATGGGTGTGATTTTCAAAATTGTCCTTAAACTAGTACTTCTGTGCCTATAAAATAACCGAATTTACAAATTCTGTATTTGTAACTGCAAATAAAATGATCAAATGAACGAACTCATTACGCACAGGAGAAAATATAGTTTGTTGAAAGTAAGAACTCCCCTAACTATTCATCTGGACCCGTGGCGGTGACTATGGTAACGAGGTATAACTATTTCAAGTAGGGGTGTGGGGTCATTATTTAGGACAGGTTTTGGCTAGGGTTGACGAGAGAAAGGGAATATTTTTCCTTAGTCTATTGTGTTAGCCCTAGTGGGAAGAGAAGCTACTCTCCCTGAAATACGCTATTCTTGTTTCCGTAGCAGCAGACGGCCTCAGACTTAGCCAGATAGACAAACTATAGTTGACCTCTCTTCCTGACTGCTTTTAGATTTTTGAAAAATATTTTTGCGTCATTTACGAAACAATTTTTCACCGGTATCTAAATTTATTTTCATAAGCTCATGCAAAATAAAAGTGAGTCTTAAAGGAAAAATTTTAAATCAGAGAAATGTAAAGTACCCAAAATTATTAAATGTGTAATTTTATTGATTTAAACTTCTTACGAAAAAAACGAAGTTTTGAAAGTTGCTAAGTGCTAGATTCTTCCCAATTATACACTTTATAACTTCATAATTTTATAACCATGGCTGAACAGCCCACCTAAATGCTGTGTTTACCACTACCAATGTTCAACTCCATTGCCTTTTAATTTAGAAACTAATCCAGAAGACAAGTTAACTCCTGGATTAAGCATTGGAAGAAATTTTCCTTCGTGGAAGACGTTTTGGTGGAACTAAGCTGCATTTGCGTTACATGAAGAACAAAACCGAGAGAACTTCCCACAATTAAAATGACGGCAAGGGGTCTCTAACCAAGATCCGTCTCCCACTGAGGATATTTTACGTCATCACTGTGGTCGGTGCGCAATTCGTATCGACCTTTCATCTATGGGATTCGAACTCGGTTCACCTCATTGGAAAGCAATTATTTATACACTTTGAAAAAAAATTGGCTTCTCAATGTTAAGTGATTTTCCTCTCCTCTCTGTTACCATGGTTTCAGCGAATCTTGATTTTTCTTCTTCTCTGCAAACTTTATTCCTGCTGTTTTTTAAAAACTATTGCCACGAGGAAAAAGCAAGATTTGCTGAAACTATTGGAATGAAGAAGGGGGAAATGTGTTAGATGGGAAAATCACGTTTTATTTTATTTATTTATTTTTTTAAAGTATTGTGCTATCAAATATTACTGAATCAGGAAAATTTTGTAAAGAATAGAAAGCTAAAATCCATAATGTTGAGAAATTTTTTTAAATTATGAAACATAATATGAATTAAGAGAAATTTTATTTTCACAGCCTTCCTCTCCGATTTTGGGTAAACTTCATCAAGAATCCCGATTTTGTTCTGGACATCCAAAAGACGCCTGTGGTCGATTCTTGCCTCTCCGTCATAGCACAAACCCTTATGGACGCCTGTTCCACATCTGAACATAGGCTAGGAAAGGTATTCATGTTACAAAAATATCTCATCACACAAATAACTCCCCTACACTCTCAATTTGCAAACTCTGGTTTTAACGGACATCCATTAAAAGAAAAATCCATTATCACATGGAGCGTTTTTAAAAAGTGCTTAAAGGTGCTTATTTCCGTTTTTAAAGGTGTTTTTTTTTATTATTGAACATTTTTAAAAAGTACTTAATTTTCCTCTTTGAAAATGAGATCTAATTTCTTTACCTTGTCGCCACGTATTAGGAAAAAGGTTGGTTTTCACATTGCTTTATTCAATTTTTTCCCAATTCATTCAAACGCAATGCTTTTCGGTGTTCCGTCGGTCCGTAGCGTATGAAAGCTCCTATCATTTTAAATGTTTGATGAAATTCTTGAGCGTCTGCATGTACGTTCCACTGAGCTGGATATGGTGAGATTCTTGCTCTCTCATGTGCTGCAATTTGCTAGATATTCTCAATTTCAGGCTTCATTTTGAACCTTCTGAAATTGAATCGAAAAATCTCTTTATGGTGGCTAATTTATTGAAGAAAAGAGTTCTTTGTCAGAAACTAGATATTTTATCATGATCATGTAAAGTCTTTGAAAATTATTTTGCATTTTGTTATAATGTATGTAGTGAGTGCTTTGAAATATTTTTAAGTGCTTGAAAAGTACTTACAAAAATTTTTATTTTTTGTTGAAGGATTTGGCTACGCATCCTGTATTAGAAATTATTGTTGATTTTATTTATTTTTTTTTCCATTTCTAAAGCTTTAGTTAATAGATTCTGAATTGAAATTATTGATGTAAAATGTTGTGTTTAAAACCAGGATTCACCCTCAAACAAGTTGTTATTTGCCAAAGACATCCCAACCTATAGAAAAATGGTGAATAGATTTTATCAGGATGTTGCTGCTATGCCTCCCGTTACAGATCAGGAGATGTGTGTGGCTATGCAAGCACTATCAATGGTAACACTTTTCTGTCTTTATCCCATCAACCAACAAATGTATTTTCATATAATAATTGATTTTATTTGATTATAAATAAAATAAGTAATTGATAAAAAGTAATAAATAATTGATAATAAAATAAGTAATTGATTATAAATAAAATAAAAAAGAGAAAATGCAAACAAAGCCTAACACGTGCAAAAATAAAGAAATATAAAATGGAACATCTACTGTTTGTCTAAGATAGGTACTCTTCCCGCCACAAAGTCTGCAGCAGTCTGGTGCTATGGAAACAAGAAGAGGGCATTTTAGGGAGGGTAGCTTCGATGGAGAGGTCTCCTTTTCTCTCTAAAGAGGGACCCCACACCCCTACTTGAAATAATCGTTACCATAGTCACCTCCACAGCTCCAGACGAATGTCTGGAAGAGATCTTAGACAAACAGTATTCCTTCTGTGTCCTATTAAAAATAGCTCCTGTGGTGGCAAATCCCAAATTATAATAGTTTTTTAGGGAAAAAAGAGAAGCCACGCTTCCATACGTAAAACTGGACTGAATTGTTTGCACAGTACCGATATACAATGATAACCGGGACAATACTTTAAAGACACAATTTTCTAATGAATGAAGTGAAAATTACTAGTGAATTTCGAATACCAAGAATGAAGTATTTGAAGTTGCTTCTAGTTATGGATGACTTTAAAAAGTGTAAAATTTTTGCAGATAAATTTCTTTAACCATATAATCAAAACTCTTCTTTCAAGAATCTAAAACAAATGTGGTCATGAATTTGCCTGAACATAAAACAACTCAACTAGTCCAATCTTTTTTGGAACTAATTACTTTCTAAAGACTCATTGATTCATTGCAACAACATCCATGACTTGTCAGCCTTGGCCTTCTCAATAAAATTTTTCCACGTCACCCTTTTTCCTGCTAGCATTTTCCAGTTTTTAAGTCCAAAAGATCTTTTTGTTTCCCAAAGTGTGGTACGCGTATCCTCAGAGTTACGGGAGCAGTTTAGGGGGGGGGGGGTACGCTGTCTTATGCGAAATATCTTGCAACAAACAAAAATTTCAAAACATTTTATTTAAAAACAAAGCTAACCATGAAAATTTAAGATTACATATTTTTCTGTTGGCTATTTTTTGCAGAGTTACCTGTTAATAATGAGTGGTGTCAACAGCTAATTGTGATTCAGCTTTTGTGCAATTTTTTGATAGTAAAAAATACATTAATTTTTTTATTAATGGTACACAGTGTTACGAAAAATTTAGAAAGGGTGCACAAAAGTTTGGTAAACACTGTTCTAGGCCATCTATTCATCTCGAAATCTGCCTGCCTTGTTTTTGTGTGCCAACTGGTCTGGCATTAAAAACTCTTTTTGTGTCTTCATCCATTCTGATAACTTGGCCCATTTTATTCTTTGTCGTTCAGTGAATGTCTGGTGCATTATGTTAGTGATAAAGCTCTAAATTTGTACTTCTAATTAATTGCAACACCTTTGAGTGATCTTTTGCAATGCATAGGTCCATTTACCTTTGCCCCTTCTTCAACAAAATGTTGAGGTCAGCTGAAAAAGAATTTTTGCTCCTACAAATGGTTTTCTTGAAAAGAGAAGTTCTCCAATTACACAGACTTTCAATATAGACTCTCTGGGGATGGATCTGAACATGGATGGATTACGCAGACTCTATTTTTTAAAAAAAAGATTTTGATTAAGGGATCTCAAACTGTTGAAATTCTAACTTAGTATATAAAAATCAAGATTGAATGTTAAAAAATAAAGGTTCTTTATTTGTTTTCAGTCTCACAACGGAGAATTTGATATCACCAGTGCCTTGCGAGAACTCTACGTCTACGCTTCAAAATACAATGATCAGGTAAACACTCTATCCTTCTTTTAGGGGGAATGTATAATTTCAAAATTCTTGTCAAGAATCGATACTGTATTTTTATTTATAAAATGATAATTTTAAATTGTATAGTATGCTTATATATGCATAGAAATGTGTAATGAATTGTTACACATTGTTTGAAAATAGTATGGGCATCTCAAAGTTAGACGATGTTCCCTCTCTCCACACTTTTCCCCTTGCCGTAACCATGGTTTTGAGGAATCCTCCCCCCCCCCCATGCCTGAATTGTCCTACTTCTTGCCAAAATGTGGGGTAAAAGCAACATTTGTATTTATTTCAGTTTTATCAGAAATTGAAATTTCCTTCTGACAGGCATGAGAGCTGAAAAGACGAGATAGAATCAAAAGTACATTTATGAGGGAGAAAACTTTTATTTTTGTTCTCGACAAAGCATATATGCTTGAATTTTTTAACATTTTTATTTTATTTTTTACTTTTGCATACAGTGTATGTTTCAACTTAAGGTGGCAAATTTTGTTATTCTTCAAAATGCATGACTAAAATCGTGGAGACCTAAACATGTTCAAGAAAACAATAGGGTACTATCCCCAGATAGCAAAATAAGGTTTATTTTCACTCAGCAAAAACTTTTTAATGCAAACCTGAAAAGGTTTGTTACGCGGTTTACGTGTAAACCTTCTAATCTTAAAACGAGATCTGTGACAATCTGCTCTATTCTACGCACATTACCCTCATCCAAAACCTTGGAAAACAACCTTCTATATAAAAACCTTAAATGGAGGTTGATTCAGGGTTTTCAAGCGTGAAAAAAACTCCTGGTATAAAGATTGTCTTAAAGTGAAAGTAATTTTAAATCTAGGTCATTATAAGGTTTCTTTTTGCAACGTCTTGTATGCTCCACCTTGTCTCGAAATTTTAATGGCCATTTGATCCGATCGTTAGTGTGACGTCAACTAAAACGTCATAATGGACCAAAGTGACAATACTTTTTAAAAAACCTTTTAGAATGAAAGGTTTGAAACTGTAATATTTTGTCTTGATTTGAAAAAAGGTTTTTAGTACAAACATTTTCGTAAAAATAAAAAGAAAATTTCTACACAAGGTTGCCATAAGGTAACATGCTTTTTGGAGTGTATGGATAAAACAAAACAATGTGAAATAAAGGCACAGAAATGAGAATAATATAATTTTTAAAGAAGAACCTTTATCAGTCCACCACTGAGGGAGGCTCTTGTTTATAGAACCGAATCTCTAGAATGTTATTCCCTTTATTTTAATTGTGTTTTTTTTTTAAACCAATTGTTCTTTGTTCAATAGGTACTCGAAGCACTGTACACAGATCCTTATTGTGCGAAGATACATCTGGCAGAAAAGCTGGAGACAGTAGCTTGCACACTGGAAGGCGAAGAGACCTCCGTCTGTTGAACAAAACGCTGCTGGTTCAGCTTTAAAAGTCCATTTATTCCTGGTGCGTGAGACCCCCAAACATTCCAATTTGTAGGTGTCTTCCAGGAGAATTGTCCTATAAAAAAAAAAGAGAAAAAGAACCTCCTGGGTCAAAACACTGCATCATCACTCAAGAAGATCCTCAAAGACTCGTGCGGTGCTGTGACTACACTCATGTGTCTCCATTTGTTTTTATATAGTCATAGGGTCACACAGAGAGAGAGAGAGTGCTAAAGAAAAAAAGCTGGACAGTGAGAATATAAGACGCCCGGCATTGTGTTCCTGGATGTGTAGTTTTTAATCCTTCTTCATTGTTGTTATGTATATATATATATAAAAAAACAGATATAGTCATTATTGTATATATAATAATAATATGGCTTTTGTGTTCCACGGCTGCATTCTTCCCATAGAGATTTTCGCTACAAATCAGGGGCAGATTTTTTTTAGTGGACGCATCACAAAAAACTTTTGAGAGTATCATTTTCCGACGTCGTTTTTTGTGTGGCAAAAATGAAAAATTATTTTGGAAAAAGACAGGAACTACTTTTTATCCAATGAGAGCTTTAGAACTCCAGTAAATCTTTTTGCTAAAAAAAAAAACTAAATCTTCTGTCGTCGAAGTAGAGAGCTTCTGTCACCAAATCGAGTGTGCCCTGCAGTGGAAATTATAAAAGAGTTGGCGATGAACATTTTTAGGTACTTTTTCGATAGCCAAAATGCGCACAGAGTGTAAAGAATAGCAACTTCACAGTATTCTCCATGAAGTCCAAGCATACCCATAAATTTCTTTTTTCCTTTTTTTGAAAACAAAACACCTTGTAATTGTTGAGTGTTTATTTATTATTAGCTGAATATCCGTTCTTCGTACAGTGTGAAAAAAAAAGAATCCAGCAAATTAGTGTTAAACGACACTTAAAAAATCATGCAAGACAAATTCCAACACAAATAATAAAGCTAAAATAATTCCAGTTTTTTAATTTATTATTTGTGCCCTTCTCGGTGCCTTTACGTTAATAGATTTAACAAAGCGCGTACTTTGTCGCTATCAGAATAAAGATTAACTGTATTCAGTATCACCTGTCATAATACTGTTAATACTTTATTTTAATGTATATACAGATACTTAATATTTATTTCTATGAAGCATTTTATTGTTACTATCTTTTCAAAATGCAGCTAGCTATGTGAGAAGTTCATTTGTGCAGCTATGTGAAGAGTTCAGATTGAAATTTTATTGTAATTTTTGCGATTATTTTTTAACTTCATTATTTTAATTTAGATTCATTTTAATGTTTCTTCAATACTTTGCGGATCATTAAATCCATAGACATTCAACTTGTTAAACGAATAAAATATGTATCTATGCACAAAGACTCTGCAAATGGTACGCTTCAAAATTTTAACAAACTATTTACTTAATAAAAATGGGGTGTATTTAATAAACTACTAGTTAACAAAAAGCATAAATTCCTATCAAGTTCTCGAGTTTAATCCTTTATTTTTCCATGTTTTTTTTATCTCCAATTTGTAAGAGATATTGCTTGGATTTTTAATTAATGAAACAAGTTATTAAATTTGACTCTTTGCAAACGCTAGGCTAATTGGAAAAGTTTGAATCCAATGAACCTGATAGGCTTATGACAATGCGCCAACTTTCCGTTTACGTTCATCACAGAATATATCATATTACCCTGATTCATAATGAGATTATCATTGCAGTAAGCCAACGCAGATTCCAAGCTGATTGTAATAAGCCTTTTAAAGCTGAAAAAAAATTTCCAATTCGCTGCCGTTTAGATAAATGGCGACTTTTGCAAAGAATCGGATTTTCTAATGAACCAGCGACCATACATAATGAAGTTTGAAGCTGCTTTAGTGAATGGTGTCACGTGATTCAGTATCAAAAGATTGTTACATTTAATATTCATTACAAAAACACCAGAAGCTGCATTTTATGCTTGCAAAAATACAAATGCGTGTGTGGCAAATGTTCAGTTTTTAACGAAGGATCAGGCAAATGAATGTTACATGTGCGCTATGAACGAAAAAGTACCGATTTTTAAAAGCAAAATGACGTGTGCATCACGTGCATCGAGCTTGATCTGAAATGTATTACATGCCGGACCCTGATCGTCCAATTCACCCTACTTGTTGAGGTTTCAGATATATATACATATTGTCTTAGAGAACAAGACTTTTGTATCAATGTTTTAGTGATTTTTGTTTTCCATGGGCTCGGAATAACAACGTGATTTATGAGACGTTTACCCTTATCCATATTGTAAAAAAAATTTACAAAGAAATATATTTAGAGAATATTGGATTGTATTTATTATATATGTAAAAAAAAAAAAAATTATTTAACAAACATTTGAAAGTTATGAAGTTACTTTTCGAACGCAGTTTTTAGCAACTTTTTGTTCAGATTCACCTTTGCTTTGAGTCAATAAAAATTGCCTAAAATTGAGAAAGACGAAGTTATGTTACTTTTATAGCTATCTCTATAAACATTAATCAATATAACACGTTTAATATTTTTATAATAATTTATTTTTTCAATTTTTCTTTTATGGTCGAATAATTTTTTTTATTCTTCAATAATTTTTTTATTCTTCAAAACTGTTTTTTTTATTTTATCCTATTTAATATTTTTGAACACTAATACTTTTTTATTTTTTAACACTGCTATATGTTTTTCTTTTCTTTTTAGTTTTTAACACTGTTATGTATTTTTTATGTAATTTTTAATGAGCTTAATAGTTTGCATAATAACACTGCATAATAAATTTTTTAGTATTTCTTAAATGCAAAAAAAAAAAAAAAAACTACAAAAAGTTGCTAAACAATTGTGAACGGAAATAAATGAATACAAATATATGTTGATGCCCAAAAGCAAAAATGATTGTGCTCCAGAGAAAATCCGGATTTCTGGATTTTTTGCTAATCGCGATTCGAAAGTTTCCGGAAATCCAAGGTCCAGAAGTTTAAAAAAATCATCGATTACATTTATGTATAAGAATTCCTGTATATTTTATTTAAAAATATTAGAACTAGAATTTATACTTGGCATTTCTTTCATTTCTTAATATTTTTTCTGGTAGAATAATAAAAAGGATTAGAGATAAAAAGTAAACTGATACATAATTATTTATTTAAATTATGCAGCATATGATTTATTTAGAATTTCATGTTTAGGAAATATCAATGACATAAAATTTATAAAGACATTAATTTTTTGAAATGTGTCATTAATGATTTTACTCAAGAAATCTTCAGGATTTTTGAGTTGGGTCTTACAATCACCCCTGCTAAAGGATTCAGATAAGAAGGATTTCCGGAGAAATGAAAAAAGAGTTTCGAAACTAAATTTGTCAGAACAAGCATGAATTTATGAATCAAAATATATTTTAATCGTGTTTTAACCGAGTATTTATTGCTTGTGGATTGTTGACATTCACTTTTCCCGGTTAACGAACATTTTAAAATTTTGTTTATGCTATATCCAAATGTGTATCAGTATACAGGAATGTTTTGTGAGCGACATTCTTTAGTTTCAAAAATATAAGTTTCCCTATTTATCTGAAGAAAAGTGTACATTTGAAACTTAGTATGAACTAATTAATTTTTGTATAATATTTTACAAAATCAGGCAGATAATGAAGAAAATTTAAACGTTAGCGAAGTCTAATGCTAACAACAGGAGCCTTACAGACCATGATATTAATAAACGCAATTCTTTCAAAATTTCGTGACAGTCAATAATACTATTCGATTTTCTTAAGGATAATTTTTAGTTAACAAACAAATTTTATTTAAGCTGTGGATGTTTTCAACTACAATGATTGATTTTCCTATCCATTGCAAAACTGATTGTATTTAACTATGTATATTAACAACAATGTTGTGAATGTATTTATTGACATTCTATAAAAGCAGCATTACAAAATATAGAAAGGTAGGTTACCAAGCAGTGCAATGAAATGTGCTTAAAGTGTTTTCACTCGCATTTTTAAATTTATCCAAAATAAGCAATTGCAATTTTTGTTACCTTGAGCAAAATTTGAATAGTTTTGTAATTTCTGCCGAACAATTCATTCGACCATTTTAATTGGACTGCGTTACTCCTGTCCAAACCACTTAGATTGCCGTGAGCTAAAATTAACTTTTTGGATTTCAAAGAACAATTTAGTCAATAAAGTTAGTTTATTTTACTACTTTATTGCATTTTTGCAAATTATTTTTCGTGTTGTTATTTTAACTTTTTTCACACATGTCTATTGTTTTAGTAAAACATTTGCTGCTTTTATTGAATTGTGACTGAAACCGTGAGAATAATTTTATTTGTCATCTTCGTAGTGATTTGTACTTGGAGTTCTTAACTTTTAAGGCCCTATTCATACCTTTATCAAGTATCTGAAGGGCATGGAACAGATTTGTTCCAAACATCCCTATCCATTGCATAGATTACACAGTTCAATTTTCGAACCTTAGTTAAACATAGAAAGTGAGATTAAAAAATACTAGGTTCATACTTCTAGTTTTTTTACTATTTGCCTTCTAAAGTAGGCTTTTGCCAGCTAAAATCAAAATCATGGCTTATTTGTCTCCGATGACAAGTAAGCTGAAATCTTATTGCCTAGAATTGAGCAAGAATTTAAAGAGCTATTATGAAAACTGTTATGTCATTTAGTCAACAAAAAAAAAACATTGTTCTTAATATTTTTCTCCCCGTATCCGTAGTGTGTATTAAAAGACCGCTTTGGAATGGAATTTGAAGATAGTGGTTTCACTAAGATACCATGTTTGTCTAAAAATCTTTTTTTTCTTTTCTTCCTGATATCTGGAGCTTAAGTCCAGTACGGATAGATAAGAATTTTATGAAAGGGTTTTTTTTCCGATGCCACCTACATCGAAAAAAATTATTATTCAATCCCTGCTATTAATTCACTCTCTCCCTATTATCTTGTTCAAATTTTCAATCGTTCATAAAATTCTTTTTATTCATTCACTCAAATTCAAATACAGTTTTTTTTTCTTTCAAATATTAATTCATTCAGTAAATAGGGATGAGCGAAATGGAATTTTCTGATGAGTTAGTCATTATTTTGAATTTTACTATAAGCAATTCAGTTTTTCACCTATTTTAAAAGTAACGTCAGTGATAATTTGTAACTTATACTTCTATTGGAACAAAAAAAAAATAGTTTATTGCTCACATTAATTATTTTATATTCGCTGTGTCAGATAAATTCAATGCAGAACATGACGTGTGGTCCACGTCACCCAATTTATACTTTTTAGAGTTGTCTGATACACCACGCGCCTTTTCTTTTTTTCAATGCATTTCAAATAAATTTTTTTAATCTTGTAGTGGATGATACTTAATGTTAATACAGTTTTTTTCAAATTTTAGTTTTATATGGGAGAAAATTTTTTAATTATTTATTAAAAAGTAACTAAAATAAAATTTTTATTTGTTTGCCTAGGTAGGATCTGACTTTAATTATTATTTTTTTTTAAATGACTCGTTTGGTCAAAAAACATAAAAAGGTTAAGAACTTACGGTACAAATATTTTTGTTTTTCTCAATGTGCAAAGAGTTCCGAGCCCTAAATTTCAAAAAAATTGTGCAGCTGAAGAAAGAATAACTTAAGTGATGACTGCCTCCTTTTTATCATCGAAAGCCCCCCCCCCAACCACCACCAGTTCAGTGTGCATGTACCACCAATCCACCTTTTGCTAAAAAAAAGAAAAAGAAGAGAGATTTCAAAAAAAGAAAAACCCGTGCCATCTTTTACCCCCCTTCCTCCCCATGTGTCATACACAATGCCTGTGATACACTCTTGTCATAAACACATAGACTATCTCACATTTTTGGGAAGAAAAAAAACAGTTCTCTGAGCTTCGTCTCCTTCGTGGACCATGGTCTCCAGGATACCGTGGTCTCTAAGTTCACGTGCCAGTCCGTGCTTCATAAAAATGGATTCTTTATTTTTGGCTGTGATATCTTCTTCTTCTTCCCTTCTCCCCTTGTACGGAACCAGAAGGACGGCGCTGTCTACCCCCTAACTTTTTGTTGGTCACTATTTCCTCTCGACTATCTTGACCCCCACCCCCTTGCATGGGGGAAAGGTCCAGCAGAGGAATGTGTTCGCGCAAGTATTTTTTTATACCAGAGACGAAACTTGTAACCATTGTATTGAAAATGAAGTAAAAATGATATAACACTTTATTCTGTGTGATTTTTTGTTTACATTTAGGGTAACATTTTAACAAGTAAATACTCAGTTCAGATAATAAAGGTTTTTAACACGTTGAATTCCATGGGGGTCACCGGTGACCGGCACTGAGTTTGTTCGTAACGCCACGGGGATCACCGGTGACCGGCGAAGTCAAGATTATTAGAAACACGTAATTCGAGTAAATTTTTAAGGCTCTTAGTTTTTTTATATTATTGTCGTTACTAAAATGGTTTGTAGAAATTAATGCAATATGAAATACACACAAAAATAGTTTTATTTATGTACACCGAAATACCAACTTGCTCTGGACAGCGAATAAATATTTTCAAGTGGTAGTTTATCAATTGAGATTTTTGGTTTAATAAATTTAATTTAGATTTTTATCCACCACTATTTCTAAACAATTCGTGGGCTTATATAATTCACCACTTTTTTCAGATATGTCATGCTTTTAAAAAACTAGCAAAATTTGTCCAATATTTGCAAATTTAGTTTGCAGTTATTTACCGTTTGGCCAGACGGGCAAGCCATATAAATTCAACGTGTTAATATCGCCTGTCATATTGACTATCTACGAGGGGCACCCAAAAATCTTTATTTCCGGCTGAACAAAATATACCTTGATGGTAGAACATGTTAACGAAATGGGCGGAATGTCGATTTGGCTCAAGGGCCTTCCAATGCGATGAACCGGGATCGAGTCCCACCGACCACGAAATATCTTCTGTGATTAGAATCCGTTAGTCTCCATGCAAATGCGGGGCATCAGTCCCCTTGTCTTCTGGATTGAGTTCTACGTAGTTGAACATCAGTAGTTATAAACCCAAAAATTGGGTTCAACGACGGTTACATAAAAAAAAAAAAAATTTTTTTTTTTGAAAAATCTTATAGTCACTATGGGAAGTTAAGTGCCCGGTATACATTTGCCTAGTATACCGTACACTGATGTTAAGTGCCCGGTATGCATTTAGCCGAACACTGAAGTTTCTCCTAATCGGTCTTCAGATAATTTTAAAATTCTCTGTTTATAACTACAAATAAACTCAATGAGAAATCATTAAATGAACGCAAAAGAAAATAGCTTCGAACGTTGCTTCTTGACCCCACGTTAACTCTTACTGTTTCCCTCATTTATGTAAAGAAAGCCTTTTCTTTGTTACGCTTCCATCAACATTTGAAAATTAATCAAGTTTGAGGGAAGCATTCTTCCCTCTGCCTTATAAAAGGTTAAAGGGAGCCGGGATAACCTGGTTGGTAGGACAGGAGGTCGCGTGTTCGATCCCCGCCGGCCAAAGACTCCCCGTGTAGTGAATGGTGATTGATGCACGTTAAATCTGTCGAGTCGCAAAGTCCTCCATGTTCACATAACAAATCAATGCCTCTGGGGGTACTGATCCTGGAGTTCCCTTGTCTTCTAGATTGGTTCAAAGTTACAAGGCTACGGAGTTGAACATTATAGTCGTTAAGCCAAAATTGGGTCGGCTGTTCAACAACGGTAATAAAATAGAAGGCAATAATATGCGATAAAAAAAACATTTTGTTTTCATAATTTTAAAAATCCGTCATATCATTTTTATAAAAAAAAATATGAGTGATCAAAATGCGAAAACTTAGTATTATTCGTTATTTATATTTATTACCTAAGACCAAA